TTCTCTACAAGAAACCTCTCACGTCGTTATGCTTTCGTTGGCTTGGTTACCTGGCGAACTTCCGTAAAGTTGATAAAATACGTCGTTTTATAGGCGCAATTATCGAAGGATAATCCACTCGAATGTCCACATCATAATCGGGCAAAAAACCGGCAAACTAGAAACTAATACGGAGCAGCTTAAGTCGCTGCGGGATTGGAAGGGGGGCAGCAATTGTGGGTTAGAGGGTAATGGACAGAGTTCGTCATCGTCGGCAGCACTGAGGGGAATCCAATTCGCCTGAAAACTTTTATTACTTCTTCTTTTTTCGTGGAGGCCCGTCGCCGGCTGTTCCGCAGGCGGTTTTTATGCCGCCACCGCCGGCCGAAACTATTAACCCATCCTGGCAAACTCTAACCACGCGCTTCGCAAGCATTTCCGTCCACTTTGCTTCTATTAGTGAAAGTGGATGCGACGAAAGCAACGCCAAACTAATAAATATTATATAATAAACGCTGATATTAAGTTCGGGCATAAAAAACTTGCAACAAATTAAAAGCGCTAACTCTAGAAAACGAGCAGAAGGAGCCGTGGGAATAAATAGCCCGCTGCGCGTGTAGCACTATTAACCCATTAACGGCTTATCCCGGGTAAGCTTCTTTAAATTTATTTTATTGTCGGGCTGAGCGATTTGTTGAACGGGCGTGTGGCGTTGAAGAACGTCATCCGCTTAAGTAACGCTCTTGTTGCGTTTTTCTGCAAGAGTCGAATTAGAATTGCTGCAAATATTTATTGCATTTAAATTCACGAACGCCGGCCGGATTTCCAGTCACGAATGTCCGACAATTTTATGCATTTAACGCGACGCTTTTCTCGCTGAAAATATACCAGCGCCGAAGTAATTACTGCGAGCGGCCACGATGGCCACAAACCGCCGCTGCCGCTCGGTTTGTAATTGTGCATTAATTAATTAATCAAATTCCGAATGGAGCGCGTGCCCGCTGTATTGTGTTTCGAGGCTGGGAAACTTCGTCGAACTGCGCAACAGTGGAAGGCAACCGTGCTTGTTTTACTCCCGTTCAATCCCGTTCACAGGAACGCGCTTTCGGCAGGTACTGGCAACACTAGGAACATTTTGGGTTTTGCGTTTGGTTTGTGCTCGTCTTTCAGGGTTGACATAACTAATGGCGGCTGAAGCAGGTGCGCTGCGGGCGGGTTTGATTTAACTTAAACACGATGGGCGCGAATCGCGTGGCTAATGCACCGAGCGCACTTGATGCATTCACAATCGAGCGCTAAATTATACAGCTTCTCTCGAAAACACCATTGGAAGAAGAAGTAAAACACGAAAAGCAACAAACACAACATTTATGTATATAAGAGCAATTTCATTATAGCATTTGTGTACCTTCGGTGGGCTTTAATAGTAGTATACTGGGCAATATGAGCAGAAACAAGACTTTTGATGTTCCCAAGCTGAAATTCGTTAGCCAGACAATGAGAGTTTAAAATCAATTTCTCCATTCGTTGCACACCACGTTTCCACGCCGACTGGGAACGATGAAACCACAATGTGTTTTTATTTGTATAAAACTGTGACCATGAGAGGCATTAAATTATTTATAGTATTGATATTGCACAATTTTATGTAGTACAGGAGACAAATAAATTCTTGTATACATTTGTTGTTAACTTCGTGGTGTGCGCAATTAAATGAAGTTTATATTGTAGTCACTTTTGGCATAACAAACTTTGAACAATATTCATAAGCCGCTGTGTGCTCGACCGTAACGAATATTATCAATAAATGTTTTTATTTTATTTGAGTTGGTGGTTGTGGCGAATATTGTTCACCGCCCCTGACTCTCGACCGCGCCATCGTTTTAACGCCACTCGCTCGTCGCTTGTCGCCCGTCCGCCTGAATGGATGCGAATCAGGCTGAATGGCAGAATGGTAGATTATGACAAGTGAAACGCCATGTGCTGTTCTCTTCGGCGCTCACACCATGTGCACACGCTTTGTTAATTACTCTGCGCCATCGAGCGGGCCTGCAGTCGCGAATGCCACCACCGCGCTGGTTGGCAAACAAGGGCCGCATTGTTCCCATCGTGCAGGCGCCCCCCAAGAGCAGCCCCTCTTTGCTGCAATGCTCATTAAAAGGGGGTCGCGCACCAAGACTGCCGGCGTACGTGTACGCAGCATGCACGTTTCGCCAACCTGCACCTTAATTATTTTCAACTTTGCGTCGCAACGACCAGAAACCACTGAATCCGAATCTATAAATTACCTCACTCCGTCCGCCCGACCAAAGAACAGCGCGTGGTGATCGTTTTTCTTATCGCTGCATACAACGAAAGCGAGGGGTGGATATTAGTTTTATTTAATAGCGGCGGTGATAACGTCACATGGCTCATTTCAAGCTAAACGAATAGATGACGAAGGCGCTCGCGACAAGCGCAGAAGAATCAAGATAATTTATTATAATGACTGCCGAAGTTCATAGACGAGCGTTTGAATTCCATTTCTTTACTGCCGTCAGCATCGGGAATCTGTTCGAGGATAAAAAATGTACGCAAACGCACGACATCACAACATCTAGCTGTTACAAATATAACGACGCAGTCATTCGTGCAGTTTATGTTTGTTTTTTATTATAAGCGCCTCCTTCAAGAGTGACAAATGTCGGCGAGCGGTAGTTTTTCCAGTTTCGCGTTAAGTATCTAGGCAATTAACCCGTTTTAAATGCACATCATTTGCTACAACCACGCGCACAATCAACGACAGTCTACGTAGTTAAAAAATCCGTTAAGCAGGCATAAATCTTTAACGATTTCCAAATACACGCACGCAGTTAGTGAGTGGGTAGTCACAAGCAAGCAAACATAAAAAGCATGAGTAGATCCAGGTATGCACCCGTCTGTTATTATTTCAAATAGTGCAAATGGGGTAAAGAAAGTGCGTTGGCAAGCGCTAAAAAGCGCATAATCAACATCAGCGGCCGAGGCAAATTGCGATCGAGTTTATTTATCCGCGTTGTGCCGCAGCCGCTCGTTCATTATATCCTGCCGCGTCTTTTAAACATTTTTATGAATGCTTCGAAAGTCCACTTCATGCACTCCACGAGATGCCACCGTGCTGCACACTGCTAGCCCAGCTTTTCGTGCTTTTTAAGTGCGCCGAGCTCGATAAAAGCGACGGGCGTCTCGAGTGGAACTTTCAACTTCGGGCGCGCACATAACTTGCAACCCCCAGTCGGCGTAATTGTTCCGCTTTTTTTTTGCATCGAATCTCATCGGGCATCTCTTGCATCGCGTACTACTTACGGGTTACTAACGCCCATCGCCGCCTCTTCGGCGAGTCCTCGCGCGTTTTATTTATCCGGTCGCGAGCTGCGACCGCAGCTACACGGCTCACACACATGCTCTCGCGCTTGTTTATATAATAAATCGACTTTTATTGCACGACGCAAACACTTAACTCGTAATAAATGCCAGGAATAGAGTCGCGCCGTCGGAGCCAAAGGAAACGGAGGGGCACAGAAGCAAAAAATATACCGGATACATCTTGATCTACCATTATTATTATTATTATTGCTCGGCGGTCGAGTCTCCGCTCGAAAAAGATATCTAATAAATTTCTCCAGTCGGCGATGGCGGTGGAGGAGCGCGCTCAAAGGCGTATAAATCAATTCGGCGGCCAAATGAACGCGAAAGGTCCGAAAATCCATTAGGAACAAATGGATTTTATTGGTGTTTTATTTTTCACCGATGGTTTCATCGTCGATTTGCCGCTTTCATTGCACGCGGCGCTTCTATCGACTTCTATTAATCTACGATTATTATTTTATGAAACTATTCGCAAGACGTAATCATGTTTTATGCCCACCTGCTTAGAAAATCAATGACTCAGATGGTACAACACTCGAACGCAATAACCTGCAGGAGCAGAGTTGTTTTTCCAGGAGAACGTTTTTTTGTTCAATAGCGAACGATTTACTTAGTACTCAACATAACATAACTTAAAATTCATATAGTTTAGTTAATTGTACAACGTGCATAAATTACTATTGTACAATCCAACGTTTTCATGTATTGCGTTGGTCTCGATGGTCTCGTGAGACATCAACACTATTCGCCCTAACAATGCAAATCAGAGTCGAATTGAAACATATAAATATATTAAAACGGAATTTAAATCGACACTGGACGCGCATCGATTTGATTTAATATTCCCTGGCCATTTCGCCTCTCGCAGGATAACGCTCGTCGCTTAATGAATTACTATTGTTTGCGATGGTTTTTATCCGCACGCGGTGCGCTCGTCCTGTTTTTGTAATTATCCATTTATTTCATATATTTATTTGTTTCCTCCATACTGCACGCGCATTTCATTCGATTCATCAATTGATAATTACGAGGCGGCGGCGCTTGTGTGACGTTATTGTAAAATTGTTTATAAAGCGCATCGAATAAATAAAAGAAAATAATTATTTGTGACTGTGCACGCAGTAATTATTACCCGCTAGCCACGCATTGTGCGACCGTTGCATTGTGTCTGCAAATCAAACTATTTGTGCAATTATAATGAGGGCAATGTGCATTTACACTTGTGCATATTTATCGAAAGCGTGGAGGTTGTGGTGGTCGATGGGTGCTTTTAAAAACGTAAAAAATTGTAAAATAATTGCTAGCCGCCTCTGCTGGATTCGCAGTCGCGCTATTGCGCCTGGTTGCTTCGTTGTTAATTAAGAAGACGTTTGCGCGCTCGCCGGCTGGAACGCAAATTTTCGCCATTAAAGGCGGAGGCGGCGGCATTGAAAAGAACGGACGCATTCGTTACGAAACGCTTTAGTTTCGCATGCAAATGAAACGAATTCCAACGAACCCGGGCACAATGCAAGCAATTAATGTCCTTTCATTTCGAAACTAGACTTGGCGAGTTTATTTTAATATACATTTCCGAATTATCTCCGACGTATTGTCAACGTTTCTGATGATGAATCTCTTTGTTTCCCTTTCAGACTGCCTGTATCTGCAGCTCTATCGAGATTCCAAAGATCGCTACAAGCAGGGCCACACCAAAGCATCCCTCTCGTTGCAACATTTTCTTGGTTTGGAGACAGGATTTACGCTTGACAAGGAATCCAATACGGTTGCAATCCTTTGTCAAGACGTGGTTGTTGTGCTCGCGTTTGACAACAGGGAGCGTCTGATGCAATGGCAAGTCAAGTTGAGCACACACCTTGGCGATGGGCCACAATTCCTCGTTTTGTTGAGCTCCGCTCCGACCAAGGCACGCATCCAGGCCGGTCCTGCCAAGCTTCACGTGCAAGAGAAAGGTTTCTGTCTCAGTGTGGGTGTCCCACCGAGGTTGGTCGGCCACTGGTTAATGTCCAACCTACGTCGCTACGGCGTGGTAGAGGGCCGATTTTGTTTCGAAGGTGGTTCGAGGTGTGGTAAGGGCGAAGGGCTTCATGTACTGGTCACTGACCAAGGTGAGGAAATAAGCAGCACATTGAAACTGGCAGCCACAGGGCAATTGCTTGCATCGAGACGACGTCCAGTATCCAGAAATATGTCTGGTAAGTTGTATTTGTTCTGTAACTATTTGACAATACTTGCTAATACGTGGATTGTTATTTTTAGTAATGGATAGCCCGCGTCGCCCTCTGTTACGCTCGGAAATGAGAAATCCCGATATAACGGATGCATCATTGCTGTCACGAGTGGATTCGCCATTCACTGATCTGGACAGCAATTATGGCTGTGGGGACGTGGGCTCCACGGACGGCTGGAATGGGCCACCCATCGAACGCTGCATGAGCTGCATCAGTAAACTGGGCGCCATGTCACGCTCTTCCACCGCCACCATTACTCCTGGAGTACCTACGTGCTGGGAACACACCTGCGATCGGCACTCCATCAGCAGCGGCTCGGACAGCTCTGGCTGGAGTCAGACCGTAACACGTCCGCCTGCGCGGCCGCCCAAGCCCACAAACGGCGCCACCTCACCGCTCAAAGCCGCTCCGCCTCTCCCACCGACTACCTATGACAACTACGACATACCCAACTTTCCATATCCAGTTCAGGAAAACAAGACTGACGAACACTACGACACGCCACGCAAGATCAAGGAATGTCTTGCAGACGCCGTCCGTAAGCCATGTGGATGCGTGTACAAGGTGCAAGCGCCAGCTCCAGAGATTGATCGCGAGCGGGAACGCTCTTCATGCTATTGCCAGCGCTTCCTGTCCTGCTGGGGACAACAGGACGACATCAACGCGCTATACGCGCAGGTTGACCTCAGCAAGAAGTGTAACCGTAACGCTAACTATGCCAATCTAGCACCAATGGCAAGCTCAACGCCCAACTCAAATGCTCCTGCATCGAATGGCCAATCTTCGGCGCATAACTATGCGAACATGGAGTTTGCCCAATCGCTTCAGCACTACGAAAATGCCAAGCAGGTACTGGCGAAAGCGCGAATGTGCACACGTTGCGGGCATGCCCAGGATGACTACCTGCTGATGCACCCTGGCCACCAGCAACAGCAGCAGCAGCAAGCACATCCGGGCTACCTGCCCATGCTACCACCAGTCAAGCAGCGCCTCGGCAAGATGCTCTCAAACAGCAATCCCAATCTCACCAAACCGGGCGGTGCTGCATTAATGCAAAGTCAGTCCAACATTTACCAACGCAAGCAAGTGCTTGACAGCACTGATAACTTGCTTGAACGTCGGAAGCGCTCCAACTCGGCCGATTCTTCCAGTCGCACCGAGGAAGGTGACGCCGGTGGCGAGCCATCAACCACCCCCAATTGCATTTGCAGCCCAACTGTACGCCGCGCTTCTCTTGTCCCAACCAAAGCCAATCGCGACTCGTCTTCGTCCAACGACTCCGGCGTCTTTGAGCTGCCGCGCAAAATGTCTGCGCCACCGTCGACTCTACCGCGACGCTCCAAGTCCTCCGATCCTCTTAAGGACATCAGCTTCAATTTCCAGAAGGGTGAGGCTAAGAGCGCTAGCGCCGAGGCGGAAGTGCCGCTCTGCCCAACCGGTTCCACAAGCAGTGGCACGTCCGATATGTCTGATTACTTCGAGACGCTCTCGCTCTCCTCGCATAGCTCCTCCGACGCGCCGCCCCCATCTTGCACGCTGCGTCCACGCTCCGGCAATGAGTATCTCAGCCTCCAACGGTTGATCACGCCAGTGCAGGAGGAGCGCAACTAGTCTCGTCGCCGTCGCTCCACGCTCGGCGCTTACTTAAACTAATCAATACGTGGAAGGAATTAGTATACATATTAAACTTATATTACGAGTGAATAGCACACGTAAGTACTATTAATTAATAATTGTAAGTTATTCATTATGTGTACATGTATAAAGCATTATTAAATTATTAACATACTGAAACTGAATAAAATTAAATAAACGAACATTCAACGTGTGCTCTTTGTTCAGTTTGAATAGTTTCTCATTTTCAGCTTTAGGCTCGGACGTAGGTACTCCAGGTCGTTCGTTCTTAATTGGAAGCTGGCAAGGTCACACGAATGGTTTTAATTGCCACTTGCCATTTCAACGTCTTATCGCTGTCGTAAGTATAAGTGAAAAGAAAGTTCGACGATGCACTTTTGCAAGCAGAAGACATAAACATAAACTACATGAAAAACGGCTGTTATTAAAATCGAATAATAAATAATAATTAAAGAAGATAGAAAGTGTCGTCGGCTCCAGCTGATTCTTTGGTGTTTGTTTGCATATATTAGAATATTTTGTCGTGCGCTTGTCTCGCGTTTTACACATTTCAAGACTAATAGGTGAAAATTAGTACAAGCCAATTACACAATCGATTATGCGGTATACGTGTATTCTAAAAACATAGAAAAAAAAAACCAATAAATGTTCGCGTTCCAATTTTGATGCCGAACGTAAACAATATAATAAACATTATGCACGACCGCGTTTGAACGTTTCCATTTAGTACGAATGATGTAATGGCGTTATCTTATTTCGAACGGTTAAATTCGACCTTGTTTTTGTTTTTGTTTTAATGTCACGATGATATTGGATGCATCGAATAAATGCGCGTACGTCGCCCAGGGAAACGAGGTAACCCAGAAGAACGCCTCGTGCATGATTTTGATGCTATATGTGGGACATCATCAATTATTTGTTGGTGCATCGATTAGGGGCGACCACCTAACATGAAATTTTAATCACATAAATCCCTATTTGTTGTAGTAAAATACATAAATGGGGAAACTCTTAAGTTAGCAGGAATAACAGATTTTAATAAATATTTTTTTTTAATTTTTTCGAATGACATTGAAGTAAACATCACAAAATATAATTTTGAACAAATTTGAGGAATTGCTGCTCGATTATTGTTTGTAGTCCTACTTGCTGTGGAAGTATATATTGAGCACACGTACGATTAAAATAACGATCTTGATGATTGTGCGTACGTGAGCGGCGCAGCTCGCACTAAGCGACGAGTGACTCAGCCGGCGGTGAAAGAAATGCACCAAGATGCAGTTCGTGGCGCGAAAGAAAGCGATTGCGTAATTCGCGTGCGATTGGCGAGCGCAGGTCGGTACCCAACGGCACTTTCGCTGCGTTGGTTAGTGCCCCGCCTGCACTGCCCGCGGTGCGAGAAAGTGAAATGCACACGGCCGCCGCACACTGGGCCAAGGTGAGCCTAACTGGGCCGAAGCGCATACGGGTTGACATAATACTATCAATCTGGGCCTTGTGCGTGATAAGCGCGCTCCCAGGTGACATTCGCACGCACGATTCCGGGTCATATTATTCGGTAGTGTGATCGGTCGCGGCGGCGCGTATATAAGTATAGCAATGCGCGACTCCCTTCAAAACCGACACCGACCGCACAACGACGACGAGATGTACGCGCTCGTCACGAAGATAGCGATTATCGCGCTGGTGGGCGGCGGAGGTAATGGAGACGGTGTGATGGGCGCGAGTAATTACCGCTCGGGCGGTCATCCGAAATTCCCGCTCGGCGTACCGGGTCCCGCGTGTGGGTCGCGCCCGGTAGCGTGGAGTCCGCAGCGCGAACCGCGAATCATCGGCGGTGAGGTGCCGCCTTACGGCGCCGTACCCTGGCAGGTAGACGTGCGTGCTGAGGGCAAGCATCGCTGTGGTGGTACAATTGTCTCGCACCGTCTCGTTCTGACGGCGGCACACTGTGTTACCGAAGAGATGGTGGTGAGCACTGGTCGGCATGATCAAGCCGCCCCCTACGAGCAGCTTCTTCATGTGTTAAAGGCAGTGTCTCACGAAGATTTCCGCAAGTACGGCCCGTATAGTAACGATATTGCGTTGCTTTTGCTGGACGCACCCGGTTTTGGATACAACCCGGTGGTGCAGCCGGCTTGTTTAACGACGAAGACGCCGCGACCTGGAACCTGGTGTGAAGTGTCCGGTTGGGGCACAGTCGACCCACTAGATCCCGAGCGCTTATCGCCGGTCCTGCGATCGGCGGCGGTGCCACTTCTTTCGCTGGATCTGTGTCGCAAGGATGGGATCTATGGCGGCCGCCAGCAAGCTATTCTGGATACAATGCTCTGCGCAGGCAGGCTAAAGGGTGGCGTGGATGCGTGTGGAGGAGATTCCGGAGGTCCACTGGTATGCAACGTTGATGGACGTATGGAGTTGACAGGAATTGTATCTTGGGGCGATGGGTGCGCAAAAAAGGATCGCCCAGGTGTTTACACTAGAATATCTAGTTATATTTCATGGATTAAAGCAGCCGCCGCGGAGATGGGGATGGATGCTGAGTTAGAATAACACCGAGACATTTTCATTCAAATTCAGCTTTTTAAAGAAACAAAATTTAATGCATGTTTATCATTTTTAATTTATCGAAAATTCATGATAAACAAAACTTATGCGCGGACTGCATGTAAACGTCATAACAGTTGTTTCTGGTGCCGTTCAATAGTCATTCATCTGTGAATTTATGAGAACAAAGACAGTTGCGAAAGGATGATGATCTAAACAAACCTATTATTGTGATAATCAAAATTTAATTTAGCTTTAAATTTACTAGATAGAATAAAGCGAACAAATATTAGATTTAAAAACTTCAGTGAATTTAGCATACATATAAAACTGATGTCAAACCTAACAATTCATTGACATTTATCGGCAATTTGATGTGAATGTAAACAATTGTCGATAACGTTTGAAATATGATAATTTAATGTATTAAGTTATTTATAACAAATAAATGAAGAAGATTGGTCAAGTAGGTCAATCGTAGAACACTGATTTTTGATAATTATCCATAATTTTTAATATCAGAAAAACAGTAATTTTAGTATATAAGGGATGTAATTAAGGGCTGTAAAGTCATAAAGCTAAGATACGGATATGTTAAGCGTACACGATTGTCTACAAAACGTAAAATCAAATTCAGGCTGCGTGTTAAATACTAAAAATCATTGTTCCTTTAGTCTCCAATATTTTTTAATTTTATTTAAAAAAAAAAGTCGTATTTGATTTTAATTGCTACTGTTTCGCGCCGAGTCAAGCAGCCCAAATAGTTTCGTGCCGCTATCTTACTGCTTCTGGGAGAAGTCAACATCCTTTATTATTTTGGGAGTTATTAGTCGATAAATTGCGATTATTTTGAAAGGTACGGAAGTGCGACAATAAAGGACTTCTCCTCGGTGATACCTAAAGGATTCTCTCCAGGATAACGTGCTCAGTTTGAATTTTCCAAAAGCAAAGAAGTGAGAAGACTACGCTCAGTTCTGTTTTTGTTATTCCTTGGTCCTGTCCCTGCTTTTTGATCAAACATGTGTTCACCTATCTCTCTATATCGTACGCCACTGCCTGCACGCTGTATAAAATTGTACAATGTGAGCTATGAACAGCTGCATTTTGGGATCTCGGGAATACTTCCTGAATTATTTCTTTTTTTTTTTACATACCACTTACTCAATTACTATGTTTACAAACTGAGAAGTCATGGTGAAAACAATTTGGCAAGTTCATGTTTTACCAGTGATGCTTCTTGTGATGTTTGACGGTGCAATGTTGCTGCGTAACAATGGCCACCTTGTTCCATAGGAAACATACAGCCGTTGGCTGGAAGTGCAAGACGCTGAGACAGCTCGAACGTGATTCACGCGCGCGAAACCAGCATCGCACTTCACAGTTGCAGATAATGCAATTGTTGGAGAGCGGAGACGGTGGAGATGGCGGCGACGTCATGTGGCGCGATTTTCCGCCGTTGGATCTATCTGAATCGGCGGATATCTGCTCGCGTGCTCAGGCACGAGTTCGCGACGGACTTATTTTAAGCCGGGAGCGTTCCCCTACTTTCCCGCCACACCACACACGCGCACACCTTGTACAGCGCACGAATTTTGTTTGACTTTTTTTGAGTGCGTCCGTCCGAAAACGCAAACCCACGAACCCGAATCCAAATGCAAGGAGAGCGCGCGCGCCGGTATTTCTAATATTCCCAGAAAGCGACGCACACAGGCGCACCTCGCGGCGTGCGCGCCGAGCGAAAAACCCCACGGCTTCCTCGTGCCTTCTATTTTTCATCGCCGTATCAGAAAACGTAATTCCATGTTCATTCCCGAAAACGATCACGCGGCATGCTAGGCGGGCGCGATGTGAATGTGTATGCACGGAATACAATCGTTCGCGTGGTTTGTTCTCACCAGTTTCGCGCAGCCAAGAAGTGACCGTGCGCAAGTGCTTCGATTCCGAAAAGGTAAGGACGAGTACCAGTGATCCAGTGGTGAAGGTGCATGTGCTTATCAAACTCTCCCGTTTAAACTGAAGTATATCATGTGTTGTTTTTGCTTGGCGTTTTCTCGGTCTTGGATTTTATTTGAGGAAACGGAAAATGCCTTTTTTTGATACGCTGCCAAGCATACAATTAACCCGGCCAAATTATAATTTTGTATTCACACAATTTAAGTACAATTTCATATAGTAGTGCGTCCATAACTAGGAATAACTCTCGAAGAACATTTTCTATAATCTACCCTAGTAAACTACTAAGCACATTTCATTATCCAACTTATTACCATCATTCATCCATGAGAAAATAGTAATACTTACGAATAGTTGAATAGGTATTGCTGCAGGTTACATATACTATCCCATTTTATTTATTTGGGACTTCGTCACTGCAGCATGCGCGTCGCTGTGTGCGCGTGATGCACATTTAAGCAGCAACATTCGGCATTCGGTAATAATAGTATCTTATTAAACGAGCGAATTATGACATCAATAACTACATGTGTATGGAGGTTACAAATTGGACCAATCTAAGAATGGCAAAAGATAAACTCAAAATACAACTCATATTGTAGGCATGAGGAGATTTGAATTAATACAACAAACCGTGCTTTCAATATACCTACATAACGTTTTTCAAGAAAAATCATTGTCACGCTGGTGGACGTTTCGAATTCTTTTCGCAGGCTTTTTATCAAATATTGGCCAACCAATTTTGTTATAGCTCTACTTTACGCTGGGTTTGTTTATATGCAAAATTCGATACGCCATTATTTTACCAACATTCAGATATGTTGGTTCGTACTCGATTAACCGACGCTAGAACTGACGCTTTAGCATCCAAGGCCCAATAAAAATGGAAACGCATTGCGCCTTGTTGCCCTACATGTCGCACTCGTGTACGTTTTCTCGGGGTTTTGTTTATTTGGACAACCAAGTCGACTGCTATTGGCGCGCATTTATTTTTCTTGGACTGTTTATGCGATAATCTGAAGAATTCGTCAATGATGCAAAATAGCACGTCTCAAGTTCTTGGCTTTCCTTCGGTACTTTGATTACCATTCCCTGCTAGTACCAGCCCAGAAAGAGACCAGTACATTCATATTCTGATCTTAGTTGACTCGATGGCACCGACGGCGACAATGATATCGTCCGCGACTTCGCTCAACGGCAATCTCACCACCATGAAACGACACAACGATTTCACCAATTCGCTGTATCATCACCCCACGACCAGCCCCCATCAGAATTCTTATACTACTGCCGGCTGGATATCCTACATGCCCTCGATGGACCATGGAAACGAACCATATCAGGTACTGTTTGCAAACGTTATAAAATCATTGCGGTTGAAAAACAATCAGAGATGGTCACGGAAAAATATTACTGCCAATGTCAACGTTACTTTTTTCCGCATCACCTTAAAAACATTACTGATATGGAATCCGGTCATAATTCCGATTACGAATATGAGAACATACCGCGACCCGTGACGCGAAGGAAGCCAGACGTGCGCGGTGACTGTGACTCGCAGACTTCGGAGGTGTATTCGGGCGGGCGGTGAGCATTTACCTGAATTAATTTGTCTCTTGCATTTTCAGCATAAACTGCTACCGTCTACAAGCTGGACTCCTTTCTCATCGCAGTACTCGGCCGCATATAGCCTCTACAACAACTTCGGATCGAATGGGAACCACAGCACCGACATAAACGAGCTCGCAGATCAATTCACTGAACTTACCATCGGTGAGAACCGTCGCTTAAAGCGACCTCCCGCGTCATACCTCTGCCATCTATGCTTCCAGAAGGGGCACTATATTAAGGACTGTCCCAAGGTAATAGCAAATCAACAATGCTCTTTCGTCTAATTGGTTTGCCTTGTCTGAACTCTCCTAGGCTCGTCCCAAGGGAGAAGGTAAGACGCCGTACCAGGGCAGGAAGCGCTGCTTCGGTGAGTACAAATGCCCGCAGTGCAAGCGGAAGTGGATGTCGGGCAATTCCTGGGCCAATAAGGGCCAAGAATGTATTAAGTGCCATATCAACGTGTACCCGCACAAGCAGCGCCCTCTGGAGAAACCCGACGGGTTGGATGTTTCCGACCAGAGCAAGGTGCACCCCCAACTGCACTGCCAAATGTGTAAGGAGCTTGGCTATTACTGCAGGCGTTATCAGTAACCCGCTGCACTTGCAGCACCACAAAGGCGCGCTGCGTTGCGCCACATATTATTTCATTTTTTATGCCATTTTTATTTCGCTACGACGACACATTTACATGAACTATATATGATTTGTCTACTCATTTCAATTGTTTTTATATTTTTTATACATACATATTTTTCCATTTTACGACGTGTATTGCGTTTTTGTCTCGTTATGCGCTTAATGATGATCGTTGTTAAATAAGTTTTGATCTTCAAATATTTTGTAATTTTTAAAACGCCGAGTATGTGTATATATCTTATTGGAGATTATTGTTGACCCAGCAGAACGAAGGAAAATTGTTTAAAATGTCCAATATTTTTATTTCGTTGAAATGTCAGATATATATTGTATATCTAATAGATTAATAAATGACCATTATTTCGACTTCTACTGTCGCAATTCCTCATTTCCAACAGTCCAACAAAGATTCTTGTTCTTCAACATGTATTTCAGAATAAACCATTATGGCAGACATCTGTTTTTGTTCTGCTAAAAATTGTTTACAAATTATATGAAATACATTAAAACAAGTTTTTAATACTAGGAAATACCTACATTCGTAAATTAAAACCAGGAGTAAAGTCTGTTATCTCAAGATTCCATTTATTATTTAAATACCATTCTGGATCGATGCAAACTCATGACGGATCAGCACCAAATTGGTCGCTGCATGTTTTTTGCTTATTCCGCAGCAGGGATGCATTCTTCAGTAGCTGACGTTGCAGTAGCGCAGCCCCAAATAGATATAGAAATTCCAGGTAATAACAATTAAACCATAGATCGGACTATAATGTACGGATTCCTTCGTCCTGCGATAATATCGTTGATGTGATCCTAAAATCAAATAAGCAAATATAATCATTTACACCGCAACGCATGCACAATTTGCTAACATTTGTACACTCAATTTAACTCGCATCCACCGAACGTTGAAATCTTCTAATACTCCCCTTAGGGCAGACAATTTTCATAGTTTCAAAGATATAATACTCATTAATACCCAAGTGAAAAGAAAAACGTGTAACCGTTTTCATATCTGTATATTAATTTAAAAAGCATACATGAACTTTTTTACAATAAATATTCTATATATGTATTAATGTTTTTATATATATTTATATATAATATATTTTTGTATGTGTATATGTTATGATTTGCGTGTACGATTTCGCGCCACTAAGAACCTATAAATACGGTTATAATACACAGTCAGTTTACTGTAATTTTTTAAGAATTCTCATATTGTACCAAAATGATACTAAAACATATCATTGCTTCGGCAAGATAAGTGAAGCCAAACGCTGGGCCCGTCTCCCTTCGCCTTCTTCTCCGGCACCGCGACTAATTGGCATCGCGCACATTCACTCAATTACGCACTCACAATATTAATCATTAATATTTACGATTCATATCGGATAGTTTTCGTCGTACGAAAAATAACTCTTCATATTTGCTCCTTTTTATCGGCGGCACTATGTACATGGCTTTCATTTATAGTAATATTTAAGCACCTCACTGTTCTCTAAAACCACTAAATCTACTCATTGTAGGTACATATTATATTCTATGTACTTAAAGCTAATCTCATTTTGTTCAATTTGCGTTTGCTAGAAATGTTTGTGTGTGAGACTACGACCCATCTTCGTCTACGGACAAAGTAAGTACAATGAATTGCAAAACGGTATCCTGCTTGCTACTTATTATTGTGTATTTTGTGGTGTTGCATTTGCTGTGGCGTTTATAGCGGCTACATTTTTGGAAGCGAAATGTTTCATACTCCTCCTTCGTGTGAGCATAACTCCCAGCAACGGAAACAATTTGATCACGTTCCAAATAAATATGTTAATTGTTATCTACCTAGGGTGGCTGTTAGTCGCTACACTCTCTCCGAGGGAGTAATAATAATTATAAAGCTTCTAATCACAATTAATGCCCGGCGCTGATTCCTGACTATGTACATGGGCGAGATGGCAACGTAGAGAATTTTGAACAGATAAAATTTGAAAATGTATAATTCTCAAGCAATGACCTAACTCCTCAAAATGAGGTAGTCATTTGCAACACAGTCGATATACTCATAAAAACTGAGTATACCGACTGGTGCTAAAACGTTCCTTGCGCGTGTCTTACAAGGAAGTGTATGATTTTTATGTGTTTTTCCCCGGTGGACCCTCCATGCCGCCGGATGGTTGACCCTGGCCCTGGTTGCCCATGCCGGCGCCGTACTTGTTGATCAGATCTATAGCTTTGTGCGGCACGCCGCGCACCGTTCCCTGGGTGAGGATGAAAGGGTCCTGAGAGTGCGCGCGATAGTGATGCCTAATCAGGTAGCTGTCCTTGGCGAATGTCCGGCCACACACGGTGCATTCGTAGCAGATATTGGAGTTGTGCGTGCGAAGATGCAGCGCGTACTGTGATTTGGAGGTGAATGTCATCTGGCAGCGGTCGCACGAGATTGGTCTATCGGAGACATGCGACCAGCGGTGTGCAATCACGTAGCTCTTCACTGCGAAGCGTTTATCACAGATCTCGCACGCGTACGGCCGCTCGCCGGTATGGACGCGCTTGTGCGTATTGAGGCTGGACTTCTGTGTGAAGCGCTTCTGGCACTGGTCGCACTGAAAAGGCCGCTCGCCAGTGTGCACACGCATGTGTACCTCCAGGTAGGGTTTGCGGCAGAACGCCGCCTCACAGACCGTACACTGGAAAGGCTTGTGGCCTGAATGCAGTTTCATGTGCACATAGTATGAGGATGAGGAGGAAAGCACCTTGCCGCAGACCTTGCACGTCTGCATCTTGTTCGCCGGCGGCGCGCTCGGCATGCTCGCAGCGGTAGAGCCATCCCCGCTGAGGGTGCCCTCCGACATGACCTCATCTTTGATGTCGCACGTCGGCGTGCTGGGCTCGCTCATCAGGCTGAGCTGCGGACTAAGCTGCAAGACAGACAGTGTCATCTTCTAGCACACGCATCATCGTCTAGGACGGCTACATAGAGAGCAGACAACGGCAAGCGGGCATGCAAGGTGCGGGTGGCAATTGAGGTGGTGGCTCACGTGTTCGCCAGGGCGGTACGGCTGCTGCAGTGGATGAAGCTGTTGCGGCTGGGCCTGATAGAATCGGATCGGCTCCACTTTGATCTGGTGATGCTCGAAGAGACCGTGGTTCATGATGGGCAGCATCCTTTGCCGTACGCGCGCGTTTATAAATACCCAGCGGCGGCGGTGCTATTTTCGGGCATTTGTCGGCGCGCTGCTCATGCGGGCCGGCGGTGGCGAAAAGACGGCAGACGCCCCGGGGTGCCCGGCAATCGTTGGCGGCGCGCGAACTGCTTGTGCCGATGCGGGGATTTGAATTTAGCATAAATTGTTGATGTGACAGCGCAAACAATAAATATATGAATACAGCCGGGCGCCGTGTCAAGCGTCAAACTGGCGGTGCTGACTGGAGGGGCGGCGCGCATGCGCTCATCCTGCGAGACCCCGCAAATCAGGCAAACCGCTGCACCGCGCGACATTTAAAATTCCGCACCGCGGAAAAAATCAATCGCGGACACAATTGATTGCTTGCTAACGCCGCCCCATTGTCGCTGGCGTCAGAAATTATAATCATGGTGTTGCCATCAATATTGCAACTCTGGCACTTTTGCAGCAAACAGCGAAAGAAATTCATTTGATAACCCTGAGACCTTTACACCCAACACACAAAATTCCACCAGATAAAATTATTCACAATCACAAAGCGTTACACACAAGGCCGGGTAGATATCCGTGCAGTAAGAAGTTTAACGTGCGTAAAAGGCAAATGAAACGTTTCAACGAAATTGTCATTTTATTGCAATCAATGGTGCGTGCCATTTCTTTGTTAATCGTTATTAAATAGGCACAATTTTTTCAATTTTTATTATTTTTAATGATAAAAAACAATCATAATCAAGAAATATTTGTAAAGTTATTGTACATCATTAATAAAGGTTTGCAATTTACTGATTAGTAGATCATAGGAAGCATTGCAACTGACTGGGGGGTCAACAGAAAAGAACAAAACTCGATCTTTCTGCGCAATGCCGAGCGCATCATTTTAGTAAATAAAAAGATAGAACATCGTCTTCTTCCTAGTACTTAATTTAAAAATTGGCGTTGCAATGCCCGCTGCTGCCCTAGGTAGTTTATTGAATAGCAATCGTTAATACTTGCTTAGTTCTGCGATGTTAAAACGTGTATATGTGTGTGTGTTGCAAGTGCCTCTTCTGAATCTGCTCTCTCCGCCCGACTGCTGCCGCGCGTTCGTCCTCACCAATAAAACGCAATTTGGAATGAGTTAGATCAATCGTTACAGTTAAAATAGTAGTGAGTTCAGCGGCGCAGCGTGCCGCGTCAAGCAAATGCTCTTCTAAAATAAATGTGTGTTTATTTTAACCAAAAGATGTTCAATTTAAAAAAATCAAGTTGCAGGTAGTTTCCATTTTGTCCAACGACGTAGAACGCAGAAATTTTATGGGATTGTTGAATTTTACATGAGCCGATCTCGGCCGGGCACCAATGCAACGGTCGACTGATGTCTTGAATATTTGTTTGAAGCATTATAGTATTATACATGGGTCCTGAATGTTGATGTTGTTTATCATTGTTGGTATCGTAACGCCCTCGAACTGTCTTTAATTTATTGTGTGGACGAGGGGGACCTGTGCCGGCCATTATTTGTCCAAGGCAGTGTTTGTCTTGACAGCAATTACCACCTGTTTAAATTTGAATATTAGTAATTAAGATAGCACTAAAAAATTGTATTCTAATAAACGCAACGCACCTCTTCACCGCAAGATTTGAGTACGGTGCATAAGATATCCTTGCCGGCGTCGTAGTCGGTGCGCAGCTGGGCGCCGACATCGCCGTCTGGGATCTTCAAGTCTTCGCGCAAGTCGCCATTGTCGGACATAAGGCTGAGGTATCCATCGTCGGAAATGTCAGTCAACTGATAATCCTCACGCTTCACATGTGGCACATCCATATTGTGAGTTGAAGGGCAGATATCTTCATATTTCTTGCCTATAAAGCCAGTGAATTAAAAGTTGCACGCCAAAAATATAACATTGAATAGGGACGTGGGAAACGATAGGATCAAACACATACAACTACTAATAGTTCCAATTCACATTAAATTTTGTAAGTTTTGAGAGGCATGCATGACGATTTTACTTGTAGTTGTTAATTAAATGCAATAACATAATTTTAAGCGTTTGTTTGATTAAAAATGAAAATTACAATTACTATTTGTTAAGGAATGTGTTTGCTAATAAGAGGAGAGAATGTGATAAAAATGATTGCCTGACTTACCTGAGAATATGTCAATGCCAACTAAGTGAACTTTAGCATGACCATGCTTGCCAGTTTTTGAGGTAGACATTTCAACAATCTTGCAGGGCCTAGCCTTGAGCATGACAAATCCGTTCTTACGTAGGGCCGAGCATTGCATGGGATAAGTGGCGGAGGCACCGGAGTCTCCAGTCTCAAAGTGGGTATCCTCAATATCCGCCATTGTGTCCGGTGAGTGTCGGGATCTGCTTGTCGCAAAGACGAAACGAGCTGTGAACAACGAAAGCGTAAGTATGAATATATGGTTGCGGGGCCACGAACGTGAACGGAATGAATGAGCACGCCGCCAGCGCGGTGCCGAGTGCCCCCTTGCTGCGATGGCCACGCGGCAACATGTGGACACCGCCGAACTATAACCACAAATTTGACGTTGGGGGCTCGCACGCTCGTAAAATCAACCAACATGCCGGCGTCGTGAAATGCACCCGACGGCATCGCATCGCCTTGGCCGCATGCTGGTGCAGCAAAGCGAAGGGCCGCAAGACACGCTGTGCCGGTCGCGAAAATAATTGCAACATGGCGCGAAGCATACCGCATCGTCATGCAGCGGCCGCGAAAGAAATTTCGATCGGCCGCCTGCGACGCCGAGTAAATCGCAGGCGGCCGGGACACTTAGGCGGCGAATTAGAATGCGTTAGTACTCACGATAATTGATTATGCACAAGATGCTAGTGAATTTGACTAATTGCAACGGTAAATAATACTCCAAGTTGATGTACTCACATGTGATCAAGATGGAAACCGTGTCCCAAAAGAGATTCGCGGAGCACGCGCCCTCAGCATGTAAAGCACGGGAAGCTACTCGCGGCGACGGGGCGCGCGCCAAATTCAAAACGAGGCTGAGCACAGCAACAAGTCTGCGAAATGACGGGAAAAATCTTTCCAGATTTGGTACAAAAAAATACTACAAAAATGAATCAAAATTGCGTTGAGGTTTTGTATAATGTATACGAATCAAATGACAATCTTGTTGATAAAAAAAAAAACAAAAGAAACAATCGCCAACTGCAATTTACGATAGACTCGCACGATCCGTAGTATATTAATTATAAACAGTTTACGTTATGGATTACATTTCAGTAAGCAAACACAAAATAAGTGGTGGAAGTATTAATTACGTCTACCTTTCAATGAACACGCAGTATTCAATTTGTTTGCATTGAGTTTGGGCATTTTGGTAAAACATGGCAAACAAATAAAACAACGTAAATTAGATTTCTGTGTTATTATTCAGGTACAACCATTCCAATTTTAATTTTCACAAATATTTCATGATTATAATAAAAAAAAACGATGTGACTCGTTATCGCATTCTCTCTATTCTTGCATTTATTCATCTACAAATCAAGGTAATACTATATCTAACAAATCAATTTACCGTGTATCACAAAATAAAACACAATCATAGTGTATAACTTAATAAAAAATAAACAAAAGCGATACCATTGCGGGTGTTCATATATATATCATTTGAATGTAGTTGACATTAGATCCAATTTCAGTTGTTGTTTTTTTTTTGCAAAATAGAAATGCAATGCAACTGCGGAATGAGTAATCTAGTGATTTAACATTAGTTCTAAACATTATTAATAGAATTAATAGACCAACAGTGCACAGTTACATATGGCTTACTGAGATAGATAACTATTTCCTATAACAACTCGATTCTTGTAATATGTACACACGATTTCGTACCGCCACGCCGTTGTTGGTCAAACACAAAATAACAACAAATGAAGTTTGACCATTTATTCAGCTCCATCGGAAACGCAATAATAAAATTCCCGCTCTTGTAAAATGACTAAAGTTTAATTGATACAGATTCCAACAAATTGTACATGAGTGAATGTGTAACGCCGCACTTGCACAAATGATCGAAGTGGTCCGTTCGGAATCAATAAGGAGGGACAATCACACAATGCATTCCCATCGTCCGGGAATCAATCGCTATGTACAACAGAAGTGAGGCAAAACGAGCACAATGACAATGGCGCTAACGTAGTCAATCTGCGACTGGAATTTTGGGCTTGACTCGCTTGAATGTGCCAGCGAATTCATCGGACTTGTCGATGTACGCACTCAGATTGGCCAAGTAACGCTCGACGATCGGAAACGAATGCTAGTCGAGGCGGAGTTGCAGCGGCAGCGTACCGCAGTGCATCTTCGAGTCGCGCATCTTCTTGAAGGAAGCGAGCATGTCGTCCATTGTGATGGGGCGCAGGGCGTCGTGGTACTCGTCCTCGGAGTCTACGCCGCTGGCGGTGCTCGTGCATACCTCTTCCGCTGTTGCTCCGCCCTTCATCGAATTGCGCATGTAATCACGCACGCGATACACCGACGCATTGCGACACAGCTCGCGCAGATCCGAGCCGGAGAAGCCGTCTGTGATGCGTGCAATCTTCTTACGGTCGAAGTTGTCCTCGATTGGCTCGTTTTCGAGGATCAGTCCCAGAATCTCGTAGCGTTGGTGTGCGTTCGGCATCGAGATGTGAAATGTGGCTGGCATGCGACGCAAGATGGCAGCGTCCAGGTCCTGTGGGCGGTTCGTCGCACCCATGATGATTACGGTCGTATTGGGGTCGGTGATGAGTCCATCCCAGAATGACATGAACTGTGCTTTCATCATCGCCGTCGCCTCGTGGTCGGTGGTGTTCCGTGCACGGAGGAAGGAGTCGATCTCATCGATGAAAATGATGCACGGCTGCAGTTTGATGGCAAGACTGAATACAGCTGCGGCAAGTTTTTGGCTCTCGCCGTACCATTTGTCGGTGAGGATCGACACGTCGAGGTTGATGAAGCGTGTGCCCGCCTCTCTCGCCGTGGCTTTTGCTATCAATGTTTTGCCACAGCCAGGTGGACCATGCAGCAAAACGCCCTTCGGCGGTTGTGTCAACTGCGAATCCGCGAATAACTCACGCCGCTGAATTGGGAGTATCACGGTCTCACGCAATTCCTCCACAATCCCATCTAAGCCAGCAATGTTGCCCCATGTTATTTTAATGTCCTGCGGGTTGATTATGTTTTGTGCAATGAGCATCTCATAGTCGGTGAGCTTGTCGAGTGTCAACGGTGCGTTACCATTTTGCGCCAATCTGTCAACACAATTCAAAGAATGTTATTTGTAAATTTGTGCAAACATATTGATTTTAATAGCGCTACAAACTTGCGCTGGAATTGGAGGTTAGACTTACTTTCTCAGGGCTTCCTCGGCGCGCTCCTTTGCCTTCTTCTTGTTCTTGTTGGCAGGGTCCACTCGCTCCATTATCCATTTTATACTGAAGAAAGTGACGGCGCTCACGAGCGATAATCGCATCACAAAGCCGATGATTTCGTTGCGCGAAAATGATGGCTCCATCATGATGTTGGTGGTTCTGCGACGTTTGAATCAAAACAGAATCAACGAGCGGACGCAAAGTGGCTGGTGTATCAATGCATTACACTACTGCCTGCAGTTGCGTTTTTCACACTTCGCACCTACCATGCAGAGGATATCACGTTTTCGTGACTCAACGAACGCAAGGAACTGCGAATTTGGCAGGATTTTAGCACGGAATACAATGAAATTATTTACATAAGATGTACCCACACATTCAATTTACGAACACTCCCGAAGTGTCAACGAATTGTGGTAATCACGTAAAACCAAAATTTACAAAAATTTGGGTATTTCCACATGAAATAGTAAATTCTCTCTCTAAATTATATTCTAAACAAATTGATAAGATAAACTCCTGATTAAGGAATTAATTATGAATACATCCTTCAAACGTATTTTTATTGCTGCATCATCCTGTTCCCTTCAAGTTAATATTTGGTTGCCTATAGTTAAAATTTAAAAAAAAATGTGCTGGATTTTAATGAACTTTTTTTTGAATATTTATATTTATTTCTTTAGCCATATTGCTTAATACAAGTATTTGAACATTTATTTTTATTACCTATTATTTATTTTGATTACTACTTCTTTGGTTGCCTACATTGCAACTAAATCTGTTCGTCAAAAACACCTGGCTATACTTCGTGGTCAAAACAAACAAATTACGAATGTATGAGGTTAACTTCTTATCACCGAAATAGAGCACTTTAAGATATGAAGTTATTAAATGATAAATCCTAACAGTTTTTGTGTCTTATAGTAATTAAAAAGTGCATTCCTATACAATATGACTTACAAAGCAATCCTCTACTTTTTAACATTCCTCTTGTTCCTCAAGATATCTAATGCAACACTAAGTCCAAAATCACCAAAACACAAGAAAGTAGAAAACAAACAAAATGTTCTTCATGGACCACAGAGTATGTCAGTTGTTCAGAAGGATTTAATATCAATTCATCCAACTACAGATGATATTCAAGCCAATCATCAAGCATACCATGAAAATACCCAACATCGAAACTTTCAGGGAATGGTTTTAGGATATGTAACACCTGTGAGTAATTTATTCATGTATAAAATACTAGATTTTCATCTTCCACTGGTTTATTTATAGTGGAACAATCAAGGATATGATATAGCAAAAATATTTGCAAGTAAGTTTACACATATCAGTCCAGTGTGGCTGCAAATCAAAAGAAAGGGACCTTTGAAATATGAAGTAACTGGTACTCATGATGTGGATGTTGGGTGGATGAAGGCAGTAAAGGAGAATGGTGCAGCAAGTAACGTTAAAATTGTACCACGGGTTCTTTTCGACAATTGGTCAGGCAATGAATTTGTAACTTTGCTTTCAAACAATAATGAGATTGAGGCATTGGCTAAAACTTTAGTGAAGGCAGCACAAAAGTGGAACTTTGATGGGTTTGTGGTTGAAGTATGGTCCGTGCTAGCTGGGCGGGTAAAGAACAACCTACTGGTAAACCTAATGAAGACAATCGGCGGTATTTTGACACACAATTCGCTGGATTACATTATAACGATTCCACCGAAGCGTGGTGAAGATTTTCACTTCACCGATGAAGAATTCGAGCAATTGAAGGACGACGTGACTGCATTTTCGTTGATGACTTATGACTATTCTAATATCCATCGACCAGGTCAGTTTAGAATATTGCGCTTGTGTCCCATTTGGTTGTAAAAATGTTTCTACTTTTCAGGACCGAACGCTCCATTAAAGTGGGTTGAAGATTGTATTCAATCATTGTCGGACGATAATGAGTCAACGGCGAAAATCCTAACAGGTTTGAATTTTTATGGGATGGATTACAACCCATCGGGCGGTGGACCGATTGTAAATCATGATTATCTAAAAAAAGTTGCCGCTTTGAAGGGGAAAATCCAGTATGATTCCAAGTCCGCCGAAAATTTCCTCGAAGTGAAGTAAGTCAATAATTTAATTTTGCATTCTACAAACAAAACATTTGTCTTCATGAAAATGCCATTTATCAATGTATTATGAGTATTCAATGTCATATTTTATAGCAAAATAATTGATATGTAAATTTAATTTATCTACTTAATGCATGCACGCACTGCAACAATGCCCAACCGTGTTCCGGTTCTTGAAGATAATGAGCATAACGCTCAACATTCGAAAAGCAAAATATTTGGTATTCTATTCAAGTCTCAAGCCTAATCAGCGCGTTGGTAATATTCTCGCCTATATTTGCGAATTAAGCTAAACGTGCAATAGGCACAAGGTTGATAACGTGCTCGATTTCTAAACACTAGCGTGATAAATGAAAACAAAATACAAAATACATGTGCTGCAATGTTGCGCGATATGGAAATTGGAAATTTGGTGTCGTCGTTCGCGTTTTCCAGCTCGACGTGGATGAGTCTTATCAATTCCGAGCGCGTTAATATTAATGTTTATGCAACGTTGTGCCGTTTGTGTTTTTAATTTTATAAAGAGAATTTAGTTCTAGACCGTTTTCAGTTATGTAGAAGTGTCAATGTCAATGCGGGGAAATTAGTTAATCGTTTTAAATGCGACAATTGAACTAAAAATACATCAATATTATATACTCACTATGACGGAAAATCGACACAATCACAATCAATTTCTAGTAACTCGTCGCGTTATAATTAAGTGCACTGCTAACAACGTCAGGTTGTTGATTTTCCGAGCATTTTTTTGAACCACTTGCATTCTTCAAACTCCGACACGCGCGACATTTGTTCAACTACGTAATAATCGAATGAAACAAATTGTACTTCAGGTATTTTTTGCTCATACATACGGAGTTATTTCTTTATTTCGTAAGATTTACGTTGTATTTTTTTGTTTCTTTACTGGTATGCAGCAAAACAAACATTAATGACGTGTTTTGCTAATGAAATTATTCGCATGACTTTAATCATGGAATTGCTACAGGCCAAGCATTCTTTTCATTTTTTTCACGACTCAACGAATTAAGGAATTATGCGCAAAATTGAAGATATTATATTCAATTAAGCGATATTTACGGCCACGATATTTAAATCAAACTTAAGAAGTTGATGTTCGATTACTAAACATTTAATAATGACGACGATTACGCTAAAATTTTAAATATTGTTTTGTTGGGCGGAAAATGTAACATAATCGCCTTGTTTATAAATGATTAATTTATTGCGCCTCATATATTTACCGCGCACGTGTAGCTTAAGAATTTTGCCTGAAATGTTCATTCAAAACCTAACCCATTCGTTTCAAAAACGTTATGCGCCATATAGCTTGTTTTTTAGTCTATAATAGTGTGAATGACTCAGGTATACACGTAAATGCGATTATCTCTAAACCCGTTTTTTTTTTTTCAAATGTCGTGATTACGATGTCTATAATTTTATGAATACAATTTTTCCGATTTACTTCCAATAATGATTAAAACTTGTAAAATAGAAAAGTTGTTGTATCGGTACTCAACGCTGCGTTTTGACAAACGAAGTTTAAACATTATTTTGTGTCTTAACGAATGTCACATTAATTTCAATTTTTGTGATTTATTACATATTTTGCAAAAATGTGTTTTAGTTATGAATGCATTTTTGTGTATAAAAAACACAAAAACAAGGACAAGACTAGATACTGACTGGTTATTATAGCACGAACCATATCACATTTTCATTCATGCGATAGAACAATTTATATTGTTTATATGCGAAGTGCTGTCTGTATTTAATTTTAATTGTTAAGGGGATCTGTCAATAAGTCTATATTACTTATTACATTCATTATTTCAGTCATAACCCGAAATTTCTGAATGCAAACCTCTATTTTATGTCATTAGACTATATTATTATGTTTTTACTTATCTTGTGGAATTAATAAGGCATGTACGGTCACTTGTATATTAATGATTAATATACAAAGCATAAAATTTACTCGCAATTGTGAGTGGTTTCGATAAACCGATTTTTCATTTTTATGAGTTCAATTTCTTCCATTCCTGCCGTAATAACGCGCCCGTGAGATTGGTCGGTATCTTGCGTTCTTATTTTTGTTTTTTGAGTGACATTTTGTGCTCATTCTTTTTCGGATGAGGCGGATCTTTATCTTTTTTTGCTTTTTAGTGCCTTCACACGCGCGTCTTCTCATCTTTTGTACGGCATTTTCTTTGTTCCCGACATTGGCAAATTTAACTCTTTTGCGGCTGTCCAGCTTCAACCAACCCTGCATGCCCTTCATTTCGACTTTAGCCGCCGGAGAATTTGGGTACCTCATGCGACAGCGGCGAATAAATGCTGTAAAGCCTTTCAATGTTTCTAAAACTTGATTTTTATAGCGACCCATTATTTCAATCAGTGCCGAAAATTTTAGATAAATAATTTAGCTTTTATGTGTGATGCCGAATATCGTTTTATGGAGAAGGTTAATTGAAAAAAATATGACAATTGTGCAAAAAAAAAAAATTGTTGACGTAAACAAAAACTGTGGCTACTTCGATTGTTTCAAAAATTAAAAAAGGATTATTTTTATTATATTTTGTTTTAAACAGAACTTACTATTATCGCCAATAGATTTGATTGCCATACAATAATACAGGGAGTATAATAAGGGAGGGTTTGAATTCAGTTACAGTACATTTCTTTACTCTACTAATAGTAGCACAATTAAGCACACATAAATCAACATGAAATAGCGTTTTTTTTAACTAAGAAAACAACAACTCAGGTCACGAAACGTTATTTTTGCTCAAAAAAGATCATATTTTGCCCAACGTTTAATTCTTAAATTCATAAAGAGAATGGTACCTAAATTTATTCAATTAGAAACCAAAAAAGATTGGGAGAGTGAGTAACATCTCGTCTGGAACGTAGAGTACTTGGACGTGGTAGTAGGATATAAGTGTTAATTCTGTATATTAAAGAAAGTATTAAATACGTTTTCATGTGGAAAAACAGATAATAGAAAGCGGCGACTTGAAGCTGCAGTCAACTGGATACGATAATGTGTGGATGTCGAACGAACAAACAAACGATCGGGTATGAGTAGCGTATTCATGCGATGTGTAATAATTTAAAAAAATAAATAAATAATACAAGTAGCCATATGCATACAAATATGCATGTGCGACATCCGGTATACTTGAAGAATTAATTAACTGAAAATATATTTTTCCTGTATACACTTGAAAAATATTTTCACATTTTTTGTTTGTTTTTAGTCTACCACTTCATTGAGTATTTTGAATGAAGTATTTAATTTATTACATTGAAATCAGCCCATTTGCAAAGTTTCGTAGTTCGTTGATTTCAAAGTCGATTTTGTTTGAAAATATTTTTTTTAAATATGACTTTATACATATTAGATTTTTAATTTTGTACGACAAAGGTAGAAATGCAGAGCTCAGCAGGTCATGAACACAAATTTATTTTTAACATGCGTTATGCTTTTATAGAATAATTTTCCACTGAAACTTTTAATTAAAAAAATTTTGTAGGTACTCTTACAGCACAAGCATATTCTGCCGGGTTACTCAAGGAAATTGAAATAATTGTTAACTTTTTTAACGTTCAAATACATGATATGCAACATGATAGCATACGTGGTTATTGTAATTAAAAACAAAAACAATTTCTGTAATCAAGCAACGTATCTAAGAAACAGATTTCTAACCGTTCACACGTGCATTTGATTTTGTATTAAATTAAATAACATTTGTGCCGCAACACATTTTTCATTCTTATCTCATTTTGTAAGCATAAGATTTTTATTGCATTTAATAACACCTTGATTTTTTTATTATAGAGAATCCGACGGTAAACACGTTGTCTTCTACCCGACGCTGCATTCGATTCAAAAGCGTTTGGAATTGGCGAAGGAGCTTGGCACCGGGATTTCCATCTGGGAGCTTGGTCAAGGATTATACTATTTTTATGATTTACTCTAAAAAACTCCCACGAAGCCATTACTCCACCTCTTTTTCGAGCTTTACTCCGCTCTAAACACCAAGCTAATGTATTGATTGGATTATATGTTTTTATGTCTCCAATTTAATAACGATTTAATGACTTGTTCATTAGTTTCTGTACTCTCCTATATCAATTAAGACCGGTTAATGAACTACGGCTTAAAACAATGACGCCACGGCGTATTTTACGTTCTCAGGCAAAGCAATAGTGGAAATTTTTGCTGTACGCGAATTACCTGCGATCACTTTCTATTTGTGCATTGGGTTATAATTAAAAAAATTGTCACTGTTCAAAATCCACCTTCGAGGTATTCCGATTCAATACTATCGATTCAATTGTATCGATTTGAAAATGTAAATTACAGAAACAATATTTGCTCTTTAGATAATTGATGAAAATTCAGTAGCGAGCGCTTTTTTATCCTTATCGATTTTCATTCACACTATTGGCATTATTGCGATGAATTAAGGATGAGTTGGGCCAAGTTTAGCCGAAATTTGCCCATCAGCAGGCGCCGAATCTTGCGCACGTGTCGCATCCTATGTTAACCATCCTATTATGTTAGCTAAGCTCTCTGTTTGTCACAATATGCTGACCAACAGAATAAAGTGATTTAAGTTTGAATAGTTTATGTGAGTGATCTATTAGCGGGTTGGATAATCACTGTAAATATCGTAATTGAGCTTGAAAATAGCAGTTAGCGCATTTCCTACGCAAGCGAATAAAATGGCGTTAATTACCGCTTGACAAATATTGATACCGATATTCATCGTTTTGCAAATATATCACAAAAACTTTGAATTTACAATGTGGTTCCCGCGTGCGTAGTCACGCATATGCAAATGAGTTGCGCACTTAGACTGATTGATTTTTAATTTCGCACCAATTTCGAGGCGCCGAAGAATCGAAGAGGCCGCCTACTCGCTCGCCTGTTATCGCTGGCGCACAATGTCAATGTTAATTGTTAATTAAATGCTTGGCACGGCGCGATGTGGACAGGCTTACAAGCCGGCGTTTTATAGATATTCAGGTTGTGTTGTTTTCGTTGTAGGCACAAGTAGATATTGTCAAATTCTTGTTTTTATTTCCCAAGAATTGCCTTGTTTTGAGTTTTTGCCAGTTTCGGTTGGCGTCGGCGTCACGTGCCTTCCGCCGATAATAATTTACGTCCAACTGCGCGCCTGTTTTTTCGTTTATTTTTATTTTTTGATCTAATTCGCGGCGCACACAAACCGTAATGTTCCTAATCGACGCGGACGCCGAAAGTACCTAGAGAGCTTGCGAAAATTCGCGAGGGTCACAAATTAGACGCGATTTGTGACTTATTATCGCCCAAAACATCTTGTTGCTATTTACAATTTGTTGTCCTTAGCGATGCGATGGCGGCTAAGGCGCGGTAGCGCTTGCGAAGGACGCGCTTGCGTTGACGGTGGTGGCGAGCGCTTTAAATACAATCGGCGCCCGCCGTTAGGGAGGCAGTCGCCGATTCGAACCGCAGGACGCTATGTGCTCGTACGGCCCGCGCACCGCACGTGAATTCAGACTCGCACGGTAAAACGACGCTGAGCTTGGTGGGACTTTAATCGTCGGTGGTGACTTAACAACAATTAGTTCAATTTCTACAGTGCTACGATCAATCAACTCTCAACCAAATCAAGATGTTCATCACAATCGAGCTTTCCGAGCAGTTTCGGCAACTACTCCCCGTTATTTTCGGTGAGTGCATACAGATTCAGTGGCACGAAAAACAAGATTCGTATCGAACTTACTGGAATTTGTAATTTATGCGTTTGAAGCGTTTCGTTTGTGGCAATTACAATAAAAGTCACATAAAAACGTGTAAAACTTGTGAAATACATAAATAAGCGTGACAACTAGTACAAAATTAACTTTGAAACAATTTTTTACATACATAATGGCTCATTTTCTGTGAAATTAATGCATGCTGGAGGTTGAGGAATTATAACAAACTTAACGTAATTACTTTACCGATGATTAACGCAATGTTAATGCGATGCAATGCGACTGTCTTACTAAATATATTTTTAATTAACGAAAGCATTTGAGCGATTTTAACCATTTGTTTAATTACTGATTCTAGGAGCATTTTTGTCGGTGACGTTTGGAATGGGTTTGGGATGGCCCTGCATTGCCTACCCCTATCTTTTGAACGACGACGTTACACCTATTCCCATCACTCTGGATGACACCGCACTCATCGCGGGCTTCCTCATGGAAGGCAACACCATCGGCTCACTGTTCTCAACTTCAAAACTGCTCCCAGCCAAATTGGCAGTCTCCTTATGCTGTTTTCTGCAGATTTCTGGTTGGGTGCTGATGTTTTACTCTCGCAACATATTTTGGTTTCTCGGCAGCCGCGCTAGCGTTGGCTTCGCCAACGGCTATGGCATGGGCCAACTGAAGCGCTATATCAAGGATACTTGCGATCCTGATCTCGCCGATACGATCAACAACTACCTCCCAGTAGGGATCAACGTCGGAGTGTTGATCACCTTTACTTATGGGGCCTTTGTGGATTTCCGCTCACTCGCCCTCTATGCCGTGATTGTTCCCAGTATTGGTTTTCTTGGCTTTACACTCATCCCCAAATTAGAGCGCAAGACTGACTCTTCTCAGAGAGTGCGCAATGCTCTGGAGAGCACCATGGAGAAAGACGAGATGTCTATGGCCAAGAACATTACACCACCGCCAGTATTGGAAACAGCTGAAGGCGAACGCGAGTCCAACACAGTTGGCAAACCTTTCACCGTTTTTGAAGTGCTGCGAGACCGCGACAGCCGCAACGGACTTTTTCTCATGTTCCTTATCGTTTTCGTGCAGCAGTACAGCGGCGGACCTGCTAACCTGGTCTATTCCCAGATTATCTTCACTTCTACTGCGAACCCATATCCAAAACTGTGCTCCATTATTTATGGCATCACCGCGCTGATCAACATCATTCTGGCACTTACTTTTGCAAAGAACATTCGCCGCAAGACGAATCTACTTGTCGGCACACTGGCGTGCATTTTTTGCTACGTGTTGGTAGCGTTGTATTTCTTCCTCCGCAACGAGTTATATCAGATTAACGAGCTGTTTACTTGGGCGCCACTCTTCCTTCTAATGTTGTGGAACGTTTTTCACACGTTCAGCTTTGGCGTGCTATCGCTGCTGCAACTGAAAGAAAGTCTTCCAAAACGCTCCCTCAACGTGCTGAGCAAGTTTTGGACCATTCACTTCTCCATGTCTGCCGTCATATCGACAAAAATCTTTCAGGTGATTTTTGGTATGTTTGGCATGGGCATGGGCTACACATTCTTCATTTTTGTTCTTGTCGGGAACTTTTTGATCGCCATCTTCATCAAGGACTACACGCCGAAGGGAAAGCTCGAGGTGAATGGAGGTGTCGAGAGCGCGACTGTACAAAGATTTTAAATCTCGCCATTTTTTGGCGAAGCATTCGAAAACATGTGTGATAGCATTAGACTACTGTGTTGTAACTGTTAATATTTGTAAATTAATAAACCTTATGTTGTTGTGTTTTTTTATATAACTTATCAACATTGTTATTCTTTTAACCAAAATGTTAACGATTTATTTACGCAGGTGGTTGTACTTTATTACGTAAACTACCTGAAAAATTTAACCAATTTTGCAAATTGGTTGATTTTTGGGTAATTACCTAGGTATTTGTGGTTGTGAAACATTGTACACATATCAAAACTTGTATGTGATATGCTAAGTGCATTAAACTGAATTAGTTATGCAAGAATAAGTTCAAAAACTGATAACGAACAACGAACCAGTGATAGATTTGAAACTGATATGAAACTAATATTTAAAATTGTTTAAATTTCTAACCTTGGATGCTTCAAACGGTGTCGATGGCATTAAACATACCTCGCAAGTAATTTGCTAATTTGTAACCGGTTAAACTTCTGAAACTGAATACGCTAATTCAATTTACATTTAAATCGGTCGAAGGATAAGCTGACAATTAAATTTGTCGTATGTTGTTAGACACATCGCACAAAACAAAAATAATAAGCATTCCTGAAAAACAACAACACATGGATAGCATATGTTATATGAGCATTGTTATATGTTTAATATCAACAAGAATTTATTGCAAGTGGGTAAATTATAGAATAAGTGCTTAGCAACGCCAAAACTCTACGGCAAACTTTTAAAAAATACCAACATTTGGTGTAATTTTTATTTAAACATTCCTTCGCAAACATAAATCGTTGAAAAATGTGTTTTTTATTATTGTTGCAATTATAATCTAAACTATACCAATTTAGACACCTGTCGTTTGTGATTGACCTGAGTAAAATTTGTATGCTTTTATAGTATGCTATCATAGTAATGAAACGATTTAGTTAGTTTTCAGGGCCGTCGATTTAGATTTAGAGTTGCAAATTTCATTTACAATATAAAAAATCTCGGTAAACGAAAATACATTTAACAATTTAATTCATAAGTTTATAAGTTTCAACTCAATTCTAAATAAACTAAATTACCTATTAACTCTGAAACCTCAGAAAGCTGATAATGCTTTAAATAACATGTGTCTCAAACTTTAGATTTAATTCAATCAATATTTGACTAACTTTTAATTAACGGCTTTAAAGTTATATTTCTATCCGAATGTAGACAGAATTTAATTAAAGTAAAATGCAAAAAAGCAGAATAACTAAAAAAATTGAAAAATCATAATAAAAAAGAATTAAAGAAGAAACAGCAATTTTTAAATATTTTGCATTTCACTGTTTCGGAGTAAAACAGCGCGAATCATGTCAATTCGCGTCAGTGAATCAAATATCACGTAGATTACATGGATTGCAATGTTATTAAAAATAATTAGATTCACTTTATCTTTGTATAAGAAAACTGAATTAAATCAGGTTAATATTTAATTTACGAGATCCTTAATTCATGAGGGGGCACAAAGTTTGCCACAAACAAAAAAAAGTGCTGATAAGAATCGTTACAGAATCGCTATGCGATAGAACATCAGAATAAGTTATAGTTGAAGTATTTTTAAAATATTAATTTTGCATGTAAAATACCTTAAAAGATATGTTAAACGCCATACCTACCCTCCTTAAATATTTCCAAATATGTACATATTTACATGTAATCATGTGTAAATGTATTATTTGGAAATAAATAAAAGATAGGCGCGTTAGAGAAGCTCGGAGAAGAGTTCCCGCAAGCGGAAAACTACGGAAAGCTGTTACGAGTCGTATGCGAAGGAAGTTGCAGCAGTATGCTCCACAGTTAAAAGAGACTTTAAAAGGAAGCTTTAGTCATTGTCTCCGAGAATATGAAAAGAGACGTGGTTGTGGAAAAGGGTAGATAAACTGTTTACCGAATTGGCTCTGAATGAAGTGCTGGTGAAGGACCAATCAGTTAAACTTTTTAATTTTTTAACCAACGAGGTCCAAACTTAATTGTTGGGCAAACGCCATGTTTGTAAGGTGCTTCACAAGCTAATTGCCTACAATCTTTGCAATACTTTATCCAGTGCTTTTGATGATAAAAACAAACTTAAAGCAAACTTTATGTGTAGTACCTATTGGCGTCACCCCGCGCTGATGTTCAATGGAGTACTTCCGACAAAAGACGATTAATAACGAGCCAAGTCGACGGCATTATACTTTACTTACATGTCTAAACAACAATTAAAAACAATTGACTCATTTTTAGGAGTCCGGTAAGTAATTGCAATGATTTTGCGAAGAAATATGCAAATTATTGATGCTGTCATAAATGGCCTTAAACAGGGTTTGTTTGGCGCTGCAGTAAACAGATCAGTGTCAAAAGGTAATATGCAAATTTAATCTTAGGAAACTTCTGTATTTCAAAATTGACACTTTTATAACATTAATTTATAGTTTCTTATATCATATAAGTAATTGTATGAAAATTAAAATACACGCATTCTCGATACAGGAACAGTATTACGTCCACCTTTGATTTCTCTCCCTATAGCGTCGCCCGCCACTTTTTGTGACAGCATTTCTGAGGAGTTGTTGATACCGTGCTCACGCGCACAGCACGCAGCGAATTTACCCGTCTGACATGAAATTCAATCTAGGGTTAGAACAACAACAGCGTATCGCAATTTCTGTAGTTTCGAGCAAGTTGTTATTGTTGTTGTTCTACGGGGGCCATGTTTCACGTTATGCGTAACGCCGTGTCCGCCGTTCCGGCCAACCAACGTTTCCCGACGTCAAGCGTTCGATGACCGCTTGTTACCCCTTTCGTTCAAGCTTCGCGGAACCAAACGGCGTCCGTCAATGTGCCCCAGGAGCACCGAAATAAGGTATCAACGTAATGACTATTTACTATAAACTATGTATGTATGTATTTACCATGTGTTATTGTGTACGTTCTGTACTTATGTAACTACTAAACCAAAACACTGCCTGTTTTAGGATATGGCGTTTGAGACTATGTCCTCCAACATGGCAACCAGTGCAAAACCTCTTAGAGTGACTACTTCTTACAAACGAAATGAATTGAAACTGGTAAAGGTAGCAATACGAAGACACAAAATTAAAGCTGTTGCCAATTCGCAGCCCCTAGAAAGGATTGTGGAGAACCCTTTTGCAATAACAACCCTTGTGAATATCTCTGATGGTAATTATATATCTCTTATTGTATAATCAAGTTCTTTTCTATATACTTCATGTATTCCATGCTTGTAATATTTCAATTCTTGTCAATAGTCAAATAATTGTTTGCTACTTTCTGAGTAAAATATAATGTAAGATTTGATGCATTCAAAACCAGAGAATTAGTTTTCACACTGAAGAACACAAAGAAGAAACTTGAATGAACATTAATGTAAAAACCTTGTGCTTTCTGGACAACTCAGTGATTTAGTTGATGTGTGCTGGTGATTACTTTAAGTAGTGTGTATGGAGATGGTCTGGAAGATGTTTTCTGAAGGACTGGTTAAGAAAGGAATTCAAATTTTCTGATTATTCGGCCAGTTCTTCTCAACGATTACCAGTAGTAAATATTACTCTGTAAAACATGTCAATGAATCATGCATGCATTTTCTGGTTACATTTGGTGTGGCTACTGTTACAAAATCCAATCAAAAGGATATGCATTCGAAGCATTTAAACTATTACAAGGCGCATTTGATTGAAAATGTGATCCAGTAATATTCAATAAAATGTTTGATTTATCCGGGAACGACGTGAACCGACCGCGGCCCGATTCGAAAAAGCTTACGCGCAAACTACGTTCAATTCAAGATGACGCTGATGACGCTGAATTAAATTAACTGGCGCCTTAATTTGGATGATTTCCCACATTGTATTTACTCTAAACAAATATCAAGTTATTGATATTACGTTGAGTCATTGAAAATGTCCTTACCGCCGTCGCCGTTTGCTCAATAAGTAATTAGGTGTATTATGTGTCCACTCGCCCGCATTGCAACAAATGCGAAGAATTTCTAAAATGGGGCCACTTCCACAATCCTTGAAAATGTTCTTTGACAATCGCTAGGTGATTAGAGCAGCGCGATCGCTCCAACGTCAATTAACACATTGCCCTCTCTTGATGTTATAGGTTCCTTTGGGGTGAAGTTATTCAACAAAATCACACCCAATACAATTGAAATACCTGCGGAAGCTTATTGCAAAATCAAATCTACGCCCACTGTACGGGGTACAGCGTCACCGTCAGAGCAGGAGCCAAGTACATCCAGCCCACGATCAGCAAGTTGCTCTAGCGATAAAGAACACCAGCAAGAAGACAGGTAAACATTTTAAACACAGATAATTTATTGAATACGGCGGAAGATAATTTCACCTCCCGTGTAATACGGGACTTATTTCATGAGTATGAAAAATTGGGGCACCGTATTCTGACAACGGATTTGTGTCAGAATCTTTTTGAACGTACTGTTTTGGAAATCTATTTTTAGATTTTTCTTTATTCTAAAATCTCTGTGTTTTTTAGTGATTTCAATAAGAAAAACATTTTTTTTTTGGAATGAGGTAAAAAAAAATCAATACAAATCCGCAAGATCGCAAGTTTTCGTGTGGACAGCCTCCCGACCGCAGACAACTCCAGTTTCTTTCGCATATAACTGTATAGCCGTATATAGCTCTTACAATTCTGATCTCAATGGCTATCATTTTCCATTTTCTTAAGAAGATGTCAAATTTTGTTACAGCAACATATATTAGTATAGATCGCAAGTCGTTTTGCACATCCTCACTTTGGACATTGTTTATTCGTTTATTTTGCCCTTACCTTGTAATTTGTTTCGAGGGGGCGTTTGGTTAAGGACCATGCATTGTCTAGGCGGTGAGATTTGCAAAATGTATTTTCGGCGGTGGTCACTTGAATTTTATATCCACTTTACTATTTATACTACTATCCATGACCATATTGCCCAGTGCACGACTCCCGATATATCATGAACATAATTTGTACTTGGTGCCGAACGCGCTTTTGCAAATGCGTGTTTTATTTGTATGAACGCTTCATTTAAAATTAATATTTTTTTAGGTGTCGATCAAGAAGTCGTGAGAAATTTAAAGCAAATGAAACGGCACAAGCAGCGAAACAAGTACCAAGTACTGAACGCAACACACACCCTCCCTACGAGATGGCAGACCGCTATAATAAACGAAAGTCAAGGCGATCGGGTACTAGATCACCATCGTTGAGGCGCAGCCGATATTCTTACAGCCCCAGCCGACGCCACAGCCCAGAAAATGGCCGATACCGCAGCACCAGCAACAGTCCACAGCATAGGTATTTGCTTACTCAGTGCACATTCGCATTGTTTTTTTTTTTTTGATACAGTCAGCCTTAAATTTTGTTAATTCTCCTTTTTTTGAATTCTAATGCGAAAAAAACTAACGTACAGATATTTGCTTGCTTTGACACGTCTAGAATTGAGAAAATAAATTGTGTTTTATTGGTAGTCTCATCTTCAGTAGTGTCTGACCGAAACAACTGTTTACCGGGAAAACCGAATCTTCCATAAAGGGCCATGTGTTTGGAAGAATTTGTCGATTTTTACTTGGTCTCTAAGTTAATTAGTCTATTAAAATAAGACGTAGAATTTTGCACTGATAAATTATCACCGCTTGCTTTAAGTTAAGTGGGTTCTTTTCGTTGGCACTCTTAAATAGAACTTGTTTAGTTAGTTTAGTTAGTTCTTGTTTAGTATACAGGTGTGTTGTATCACACCCCTAAGTCACAAGATTATTCTTTTAGTAAAACAAGGCAAAAGAAGGTTACACATAATAACAAGAAATGAAATTAAAAAAAAGTATTTGGAAATGAACATGAGAAGTAAATGGTACTTAGTAAGCAATCTAAACAATCTAAACTACTAGTCATCTGGGTACAATATCATAAAAAATGAATTGCGTATTTCTTACAGTTTCAACTAAATTTGATTACATTCTTTTATAGATCTCAATCAAGAAGTAATGAGAGGCTCAAAACAAATGATTTTTTGTCAGCGAAACAAAAGCGCCGCACACCTGATCGAGATCGAGAGAGATCACGATCACCAGTCCCACGCACTGAACGGTACGACAGGCGGAAGTCTGGGTGGGCGGACTCACCTGAGTTTTTTGACCGAGGACCTGGAGCGCCTTATTTTGATGTATGTAAAACTTTAATGCCAATGGTTCTTTTGTTAGTGATTTATTCAATTTCTTATTGCAGCCGGCTTTAATACGTGCGCCAATTTCGTTCTATCCAGCCATGCCCCCTTACTACCCACCTGGTATGCCGCCTGCGTACTTCAATCAGCCGTTTTTCCCTGCCCAACATCCTGGTGCTTTCGGGCCGGGAACTTATCATCCACGTAAAAGGGGGGCGGTTTACATGAATCGAAAGATTCAAATTATCACTAACTCCACAGGTAACACGGGTACATCGAAGAACACGTTCATGTCTGAAGGCGAAGCGACGCGAACCAGCAAGGTCGTTATATCGGAGATTACAGCAGGTACAGAAAGTGCGTAGATACGACTATCTTAGGTGAAGAAGTTACTTTAGTTTAATGCACTACATCATCTATAAGGCATATTGCGCATATAATCCATTAATATCCATGAATTGGCCCTCGCAATGTTGTGATTTTTTCGGTCGCAAATGACAAGTATTTAATGCCTTTATTTTGTATATATTTATTTCTTATTTAACTCGTCTTTTTTTATAATGTACATACATATTTATGTTAGTTTATATTGATAGGTTTTATCAGGGTGATTCAAATAATATTAATTGATACACGTCATATTTTATGCAACTTAAAGGGGACCAGCTTGTTTGCTAACAGTTCAGTAGTTAAGAGGAGAAATATTTTTCAGTTATATTTCTTCTATTTTTAGCTGGACTTTATTATACCAGGAACTTGTATGAAGCATTGCGGACTTGAGATTGGACATGAACACAAATTAATTTAAAATATGGTAATTAGTATTAATTTCTTTTGTTTGACAAAATAATTTTAGTATTAATAAATTGATATATGACTGAATACTCCTTTTGCAGGAGTAAATTTCGAGACAGATAATATGTACTAGTTATGCCACAATGCTACTTTGTTGGAATGTCCGTGTAAAACGTGTCGGTAACTCTTGGGTGACAGATGTAATGAATAGGATTCAGTGCATGAACGCTAGGTCAATACTTTGATATTATTTATTCAAAGATTGGAAACTCATAAAAATGCCATCTTTCTGTTTAGGGACACTCATATTTGTTTGTTTTAGGGGTCTAACAACTGAACCCGATCTTGAAGGCTACCCATTTGTACATCTGATTGTACGTATTGGATCTTTATAATTTACATAGATTACATTTTTAATTATCTCTCGGGAAACTCACAAAAATGCAATTTTTCTGTTTTGAGTAAACCATTCTTACGTCAGATTGTACATATTGGAATTCTTTATCATTTTCGTACATAGCTTTGGTGATTAGCTTATGAATTAGCGATAAATTGTGCATTTTTGTGTTACAAATGACTAATTTTTACTTGTTTTAGGGGTTTTACTCCTCAACCCGACGTCCTAGGAGAACCACTCTTGCATTAGATTGTAAGTATTGAATTTATTTATCATTTTCATAAATAACTTTAGTGATTAGCTCATTAATTAGCAACAAAAATGGCATTCTTGTATTTCGATTGACAAACTTCCTCCTTATATAACAATTTTCAATGTTTTAATTGAGTAGTATTACAGTTTCCGGCAACGTCCTTCTAGTTCCTGCTCCCGAAACTAGATGGCGCTAGCAATTGTTCATACTACTCTGTAAATTAGTTTGGGTTGCCGCTGCGAGATGGCGTTAGAGTTATGTTACATTATCCTGTAAATTACTTTTGGTGGTCGATACTAGATAGCGCAAGTATCGGATTCATCCAGATAGCAATCAAAATCAAGATTTTCCACTTAGTCTGTCCTGCGCTGTTATTTTAAATTCCGCGGTATTTAGTTCTACTGTCGTAAAGCAAACGATTTAGTTAGCGTCATGTTTAGTATCATGTGCCCTCGTATGTGCTGACGTTTGACGATCGTCGGATCATTTTCGTGGCTTCGATTTCTAGGAATTGGATTTATTAATCAAAATTGTTCAAGTATTAATTCGTGAAAAAAAAACCATTTGTGTTCCGCCTGTGGAAAAATTGTTAGTGCAAAAATATTAAAGTTAGTAATTTCTAACAATTTGCCGAAACGTCTTTGTGCACTTTAGTACTTTCTGGATGAATGAACAAAATAGTTGACTTAATGTTATGTATAAAGTAAAATTTACTTCTGTTTAATTTTTACAGATGTAATTGCATTGCCATAATAATTTATGTATATGATTCCGCCAGTAAAGGATAATTTTAGCGAATTAAAAATGAATTAAAGTCACAAATCACAGCGCATCTGATTTGTGTTTGTTTTTAGATGTCTAGGAGTTGAACGTGACCTCGGTGTATAATCGTGCCCGCATTCAATGGTGAGTATTGAAATTCTTATCATTTTCATATCTGCTTTGTTCACGTAGCCTGCTATATCTTTTCCTTGTTTAGTCGATCGTGCGATGTTGTTCAGTACACAGATGTTTTGTTCACAAGTCGATCTTCGTAACTAGTATGCGCGTTTCTTGTGATTTTAAGTCGGTAGTTGAATTAGAATCGATCAGCAAAGGTAACATTTAGAATTAACGGACTAGTGCGGCGTGCAGTTAATGAATTATCACGGGTGGAAGTCAGAATTGTGTAGTTTTACAATATGCGCACGTTTTTGCCGTCGGCCGTCGGATATCTTACGTCGGCTAAGAAGTCCGTCCCAGTGGTTTTATTTGCGTAATGATATTAATTTGTGAAACTAAACACTGTTTGTCCCCGTGTGGAACATTTTAATCGAGAAAGTGCACGTAGGTAACTGCAACATTAACATTCGACGAATTAAACAATTAGTGAAGATGTTTCATGGACGAAAGGAATTTATCAGACGTTAAGGAAAAGCGAGGTAACCGTTGAATAAGTAAATACTCTGAAAATAATTCAATTTTAACAAATAATTTAATAATTCAACATGTACCCTTTTGATTGTACGAGTTGCAATAAACTATTCTCTTAATATTACATTTGCTAGTATATTTATCTATGTTTCCTTTTTGTCGTTTTCAGAATTAGATTTAAAAACCACATTATTTGATAGTACGTGTTTGAAATGCGAATAACAGGTACATAAATGTTGTTGTTTTTAAAAAGGTAACAAAAACAACAACATTTATACTGAAACGAATAGACTTTGATATGAGAACTTAGTGGCTCAGCTGGCATATGCATACTAGGCTAGCATGCTAGGGATTCGTGGTTCATGGTTCGAATCTCAGTTGTAGAAAGCAGTTTTATTAAATAATAAGAAATTTAAGAGATGCGGGTTGCATGCCACCAAAATATGGATTCAAATGTTAGAAATAATAAGTTGAAGAGCAGGGTACGGAACAACAATAGGAATAAGTGGAAGATGGTGGAAGAGCAAGTAAATAGAGAGCAGCAGAAAAGGATAGGAGATGTAAGACAGAATTTTTAAATTTTTGGCGGCGTGTCGTTATAAGACAGTCACTGTTTCGATCTGTCCATTGCTCCCGGCCCATCCTACAGCTACGATGTCTCTGCGCTTCATCCCCGAAATACTCAGGCATATCAACAATTTTTATGGTGGGGGATCATCCCCAGAGAGAGGGAACTCCTTATAAGGACATCCTTTTAAGGACTTGTAAAAATATTTCTAATTTTTAAGTCGCCTCAAGAGAGGGGACACTTAAAAATATTCTTACAAATTCTGACCTGCAGCTGAAATGAAAGATGGAGAACACAAATCATACAGGACACCTTAACAATTTTTATAGTGGGGATCATCCCCTGAGAGAGGGAACGCTCTTAGAGACCTGTTCCTGAAATGATAGAAGGGGTACACAAATCAAAGAAGTCAATATATCTTACTATTTATTTATTAACAATAGAATACAAGTTTATATTTTACAAGTCAACAGAATACATGTCGCCACTTTGAAACAGGACTTACGACCTGCACAGCCGGGCACATGCCATCAAGTAGGTACTACTTCTACCTCAAAACACGTGATTAGGGAGACACGCTCGCGGACCACGCGGTGAAACAACTGCCGTGTGCGCTGCGCGTAGCCGGGTACAAGCCGGGTATGCAGCGATATCACGCGTCAGTCGAACAAAAAAAGTTGTTTATACTCAAACGTACTGATAAACACGTAGTTGAGAAGACGAAACTAAAAATTCACAATGTTGAAATACACATACACGAAATTTACTTTTACTTTCAATATTTCTCGGCATATGAAAAGAATAAGTTAGTTCAATTGTAAATTGATAATTTATTTCTACGATTTTCGACAGTGAATATCTTCCAAGCTAAAAGAGATAGCAACAGAAAATTGTTGATTACGGAAGATCGGAAAATTCTCTATAAGGGGGAAATTTAAAATACTTTAAAATAAAGGGGTAAAAGGTGTAAAACCGCGACTGAAAGTGCTCAAAATTACAATTTTCCAATTTTTGACGATTTATTTCAATTCCGAATATCTCGTAAACTAAATGAGATAGAAAGGAGTGAATCGCAGTGTCTTAACCCGTAATTGGGCGCGTCAAAAAAGTTACATAAACGGTCACGTGGGGTGTTAAACACCCCAATTTATTTAATTTAAAAAAAATACTAGGTGATGGCAAACTCGGACTTTTATTAATGAGAGCATTTTGACTTATTTACTAACAAACTTAGAAACCTCTTTTTACCATTATTAATAAACTTTTATTGAACAAAAAAATAACTTTATTGACACCTTGTTTTCCTCCTTACAATTTTGGCATACTACCATAATATGGTCATTGCACTCGTGCTTATGGCACTTATAGCATTCCGTTCCTTACTACACAACAGGTGCGTGGGGTTTCGACCACTCTCTACCGCCAACCGTCCACAACCGAGCGCCACTCGCGACTGAATTGTAAACGTCACAGGTATTTATGAAGCTACCTAAAAAAACCAGAATGCTAAATTGAATATTTAAAAAGTTATGAACCTGCAAACAGGCGCTGGGGTGTTCGACACCCCACGCGCCCAATTACGGGTTAATCTACAGAAAATTCTCTCTAAAATAGTTAGTTCAATTAGAAATTTAAGAGATGATATTTTAATTTATAAGAAAAAGTAAGATTTTCTTTGCGACACGTTATTAAATTAGACTTCGAAATAGGCAAAGTGCCGTCCGACGGCATCGCACATGCATAGGCGAAGGACATGGAAATTTCGTTTCAGATGTGAGGTAAAGGTCCAAAAACTTGACTAAAAAGTGAAATTTATGTTTTTTTGTCCAATTTTTTTAATTGCCCTGAACACGAGTCACTTGTTCCGCTGCCCTTGTACGGTGCCCTGAATACGAGTCACTTCTACCGCTGCCCTCTTTTAAACGGGGAAATTCAGTCAATTTTTGTTTAGACCAAGAAAAACAAATGTACAGGGTGTTACAAAAATAAAATGCCATGTTTAAAATGGAAAACTTCTGGAAACATCAAGTCTGGAAAGACGTTCAACCATGTTATTCGACCGAAAAAAAATGAAAATACTTTTACACTGTTTGAAATACAATGGTAGTACAAGAGGGTGAGTATTAGCTAAGTAAAGTTAAGTAAACACTTACTGTACGCTATAGTATATAGGTGTTCTGATGAGACCTTTATTGGTCGAAATAGCTATCCACATTAGGCTTGACAAATACTTGCATTGACTTGCATTGGTTTAGTAAAATATCGTTTCGGCGATATTGTGAGGGTATAGCGTACAGTAAGTGTTTACTTAACTTTACTTAGTTTTACACTGTTTTTTGAGCAGAAAATAAAATTTATGGCACAAAAATAGCTACTTTTCGAAGGCATTTTAGGTCACTTCCGGAAGGGACAGAGGATTTAAAGTGGGTGTACCGTGTAGATACACTCTCCAACTCTAATATGACGTTAAAAAACTGCTAGAAAGTCAATTACCTCACCAGATACAGGGTGTTTTCCACACAATGTTTTTAAATTTTTTGAAAAACTGCAATTTTTGAAGGGCATTTTAGGGCACTTCCGTTAGAGGATTGAAAGGGGGTGCATCGTGTAGATAGACACTCAAACTCTAATATGACGTTAAGAAACTGCAAGAAAGTCAGTTAGTTCACGAGATACAGGGTGTTTTCTACACTATGTTTTCATACTTGCATATGCTGAGGCGAAGGACATTGAAATTACGATTCACAAACAGTTTTTGAGCAATATTTAATTTTCAATGCGATTTCAGAATTAACAATATAAAAGAATAATGCCGGCTGAGAAAAATACGCGCAACTAAAAGGAGGACCAGCACTGTGAAACCGACATTTTGTAGAGAGACTGAAAATGCATCCGAGAGAATGCAACAATTTTGAGTTATTATGGTACTCTCGTTACATACGATTAAAGATAGAAATGTTTTGGAATATTTACAAACTTACCAACAATGCAGGTAATCAAAGGAAGTACTGAAACGGAAAGAACTCGCGTGTAAGACCCTGGCATTATGCTACGCACGTATTAAGTCCGTTCCGTCGGTTAATTGTCTTATATTGCAAGTGGTATTTTGACTCACAATGATTCGATCATTGCGAGCAAGTAAACTTTCTTAAACACCCGTGAATGCTGCCGAGGACAGACGCTAGTTATAGGTACTCGAAATTAACAATTGTATTCATATTTCCAATTCCAATATTCATCATCGACAAAATCCAATAGCCGACGGATCACTAACGTACAAATGAAGATATAAGTTTAATTATCGATTCACGCACAAATCATCGTTAGACAAACATTTAACACGTCTATTGTAAAATGTAAAGCAATTAATTTAATTGAAATGTAAAAAAGAAAGGTGTAGAGTCGCGTGCAGGTAAGAACTGACTAAAACGTGCGAACATTTGTGGCGCGAGCTGGTTCAAGGCGACAAAAAAGTTGTTTATATACAAACCACGTTAAGGAGGTAGAAATTACTCTTGCACTATTAAAAATGATAACGGTATTAAAATTGCGCAAACGGTTCAGAAATAACGCGCAATTTCCACAACAAATTTACGAAAATGACAAAACTTGCCTACTTTGGTGGCGGCTTTCGAGCCCTTCTTCTCACGTGATTTTTGGACTGGCGGAAACCCACCGCTTATAAAAATTCTTGTGTTATTTAAATTTGCAAGCAGCATTGAAATGTCGCCAATAGTTCCCGAACTAATGCACAACAAGTTTCTACAACAAGTGAAAATTACGCGTGGGATTTCCGGGAACGGGCATTCTCGTAAGAAATAGTATAAGTCAAAAGTAACAGAAAATTATTACAACTTGTATTGTCTGCGAGCCAAACAGAAAGGTATTGTGAGACCAGCAGTGTAACTATAAGACGAAAGCGCTAGTAAAATACATGAATAAAAACTTTAAAAAAACTTTAAAATTCCCGAATATACCGTAGTCCCTTATCACACCAAAAGGAATTCTACGAGTCACGACGATCGTAAGCGTATCGGCATTTCTATAAGATTATCATTTTTATTCGAGGATTTTCGATAATGAATATCTTTTAAACTAAAAGCGATAGCGACCAGTGGATTGAAGAATATGAAAGATTGGAAAATTCTCTATAAGGTTAAAATTAAAAATAATATAATTCTGTGCGGTAAAAAGTGTAAAAACGTGACGAAAAACGGAAAATTTTCGTTTTTCGCCTTGTTTTAAATTTGCATATATCTCGTAATCTAAAAGAGATATATAGGAACAGATTCCAAATTCTTAATCTACGAAAAATTCTCTATAAAGATAAACTAATTAAAATGCAAATATAAAAGATGAAATTTTAATTCAAGTACGGTGCCCTGAACACGAGTCACTTCTACCGCTGCCCTTACACGGTTCCCTGAATATGAGTCACTTCCACCGCTACCCTCTTACGGTGCCCTGAATACGAGTCAATTCTACCGCTGTCCTATTTTAAACTAAAAGCGCAAGCAATTGAATTATATTAAAGATTGGAAAATTTTGTATCTGGTAAATATTAAAAATATTATTATTCTGTGGGGTATATGCGATCAAAACTAAACAGAAATATGCTGCATGCGATATGAGCAGATGGCAACGCGGGCAACGATGGCTAGCGGGTTGAAAAGATATGCATCTTTTATGCATCATTGGGGGACTTTCTAACTCAAATATAACGGTAAGAAACTTCAAAAAAGCCTATTACTTCACGAGATAAAGGGTGTTTTCCACACCATGTTTTTTAGGGCTTCACACGTGACGAGACTGCGCGAGACTATCAAAGGTATCGTCTCGGTCTCGGTATCGTCTCGGAAAAGCGATACGAGACCGAGACGATGCGAGAAAAGTCTCGGTATCATATGAAGCCTTAAGTAGAACTCAGTTTTAGATCTTTGCAGTTCAAAAGTTTAGTCATTTAATTGCTAATTGCTTTTATTGTAAAGTAAGTCCAAAAATTCATACATAGTTTAAAATATTAATTTTTGATTGCATCACTTTTAATTGAAAATATATTTTTAAGGTTTCAAATTTTTAAACGTTAATGTATACTAGGGTACAATAATCGAGTTGATTTGTGTTGAAAGTAAGCGGCGCACGTCTACAATTCCTAACTTACCCAGATGTATACAATATCTTTGCTTCAAGAAGTTCAGAAAAACACAAAAATATGTCTCCGGATGTGTAAAGAAAGACAAAATTTTCATAAAGCTTTCAAAAAGTCAAAAAGTTCATGATATGCGGTTACTGACTTGTTCTTTTGAATATACAAAAGAAATATTTCACAGATGGTCATATATTGGATTTCATATATTGGACCTTTTCTCATTTTTCTAATAACAACTTCATAAAAAAAATTTAACGAGACCAATAACGAGACCAAAAACGAGACTCGGACTGTGGTCTCGGTAACGCCGAGAAATTGTTGAAACACGTCTCGTCTGAAACGAGAAAAGTCTCGGTATCGCGTGAAGCCCTAATGTTTTTCATTTTTTTGAAAAAGAGCTATTTTTGAAGAGCATTTTAGGGCACTTCCAAAAAGGTAAGAGGGTTGAAAGGGAGTGCATCGTGTAGATGTTCTCTCGAACTATAATAGGACGTTAAGAAACTTTTAATAAGTCTATTAATTCACGAGGTGCAGGGTGTTTTCCATACCATGTTTTTAATTTAAAAAAAAACAGCTATTTTTGAAGAGCATTTTAGGGTACTTCCAAAGGGGTCATAAGGTTGAAAGATGATACGTACTGTAGATAAACTCTCGAACTCTCATATGACGTTAAAAAACTTCAAGAAAATCAATTAATTCACCAGATACAGGATGTTTTCCACACTGTCACCAATTTTTAAAGGGCATTTTAGGGCACTTTCAAAAGGGCCAAAGGGTTAGAAAAGATACCCAATCAAAGTAAATAGGCAAAGACTAGTAATTATTGCAATTCTGGTAGAGAAATCAACGAAAATTAATTAACAGGATGCTACAAATGGAGCATTACTACATTACGAAAGAAAATACGTAGTTCAAGCATTAAAACACTCGGAAACAACAAATCAGTTCAATTCTTGATGGGGAATACAAATAAACAGAGTTTAACAAAAAGAAAATTACTACCTTTATACAAAAAATTCCACCTTCAAGAAGTAACCCTCTCCATTAGAAGAAAACACTTTTTATTGTAAACTACAAGTTGAAATTCTGAATTAAGCAGTAGTGCTAGAAGAAAAATCCAAAATGTGCCGGCCGATGGCATCTCCGACACACACGTGGAAGTGAATTTAAATCGACTTGTATACATATATTACTTTTAACAATTAATTGTCAAATTACTAAAACCCGTTAACGCGACTGCAGAATTATAAAATCAAAAGAGCTGGGAACATTTTTAGAGTTATTACAGTACTCTCGTTACAAGCGATTTGAGATAAAGATGTAATTATAGTGTGAAAATGTTTACAAACTTACCATGGGGTAATTACAGAAAGTATAACGAACTTGAAAGCAAAGTGCTATTTTCATCAACAGTATTCTCGTACAATCCTGTCGAAGACGGATTTTAATTATACTTACTCGGAATTATCAACAGAACACATATTTCCAATTCCCATTCCTCTGCATCGAACTAATCCAATAGCCGTCGAAACAGTAATACACCAATAAATACACGAGTTTTATAATCATTACACGCGGAACTCATCTTTAGCAAAACACTGAACACGTCTATTGTCATTAACTGTCGATATTAATTGATAAAATGTAATGCTATTAATTTAATCAAGAATATTGAACGAACGGTGCCACGCCGCGCGCGTATAAGTGCGGATTGAAACGTTCGAACGTTCGTAGCACGAGCGCAGCATTGGTCTACATTGCGATAAAAAATTTGTTTTTCTACTTCCGCCTTTAAAACAACGTGACTAGTTTTGATATTGCTTATTTCAGCATTTACTTAGTTCCTACAAATTTTATAGGTGTTATACTCATCTTGAGTTGAATTACTCCAGCACTTCAGTACAGGGTTTGTTGCAATTGCGAGCATTAATGTTAATCTTGCGTAAACAGTACGTGCTAATGTGTAAAAAAAATTACAATTATAAAGTAAAGTATTACTTACAAGGTATCATGTTTGCGCGCCATGAAATCCAACAGCTGACAGAGAATAATTTCTCGTTTTCAAATATTGCACACAATATAAATCATCAGTAACATATAACTCGATTTTCCGAATTAATGGCTATCGGAACATGGTAACTAGTGAAAGAAATAACCGAGCACAGCACATAATCGTAATTTCTACCCGACCCAGCATGTTTAAGCGACGACGGCACACGCATGGACATAAGCAAATAAATATAACGGATAAAAACTTCGCGCGATTTCACAAGTTTTCTTTTAGGCGATGTACACTCACTACCGTAACTACTGCCTGCAAACAACTGGCAGCTATAAGTGCGCTTAGAATTTAATACAAATACGTGCATTCTAGCGCCATCTTGGCTTGATTTATAGAATAATTGAGATTCATTGATATTTTTACTAGCAAGCATTAGTTTAGGGCTCATGAAACACCAACCAAGTAGCATTATAGTAACTACACATGCTTTAAAGGTCAAACAATAAAAGAATTATATCCTTTTGGAATACATCTTACCTGCCCCACAATTGACTCCATTTCAATGGACTCCAGCACAAGGAGTATTCGGCCATTCATTACTTTATTAATACAAAAATTATTTTATCAAAGAGGAGAAATTAATACTAATTACCAAATTTCAAATTAATTGAAACTTGATGTTCACGTACTATCTCAAGTCCACAATGCTTCATACATGTTGCTGCATAACACCTCATACAATTAGGTACAATAAATTCCAACTAAAAATATAAGAAATATAACTGCAAATTATTTCTACCCTCGACTCCCACAATGTTTGCGGACAAGCTAGTTCCATTTAAGTTGCAGATAATACAACGTGTATCAATTAATAATATTTGAATCAATCCTGATGAAATCTATCAGTATGAACTTACATAAATATCTATGTACATTATAAAAAATATTCGTGTTAAATAAGAAATAAATATTTACAAAATAAAGGCTTTAAATGTGGTTGCCACTTGCGACCTAAAAATCCAAACATGTAGTTGGAGTGTTTTAAACTAAAGAAACATCTCTTAGGATAGTCGAAGCTACGCAGTTTCTGTACCTGCTGTAATCTCCGATATAACAACAGTGCTAGTTTGCGTCGCATCGCCTTCAGAAATAGACGGGTTCCTTGATGTACCCGTTGAGTTAGTGACAACTTGAATCTTCCGATTCATGTAATGCGGCAATCTTTTACGTGGATGATAATTTCCCGCCCCGAAAGCTCCCGGATGTTGGGCAGGAAAAAATGGCTGATTGAAGAACGCAGGTGGCATACCAGGTGGGTAGTAAGGGGGCATGGCCGGATAAAACGAAATTGGCGCACGTATTAAAGCCGGCTGCAATAAGAAATTGAATAATTACCTAAGGTAAGCACCTTTGGCATTAAAGTTTAACTTACATCAAAATAAGGCGGCACAGCTCCTCGGCCATAAAACTCAGGTGAGTCCGCCCGCCCAGACTTCCGTTTGTCATAACGACCGGTACGAGATTGTGATCTTTCCCTTTCGCGGTCTGGTGTATGGCGCTTTTGTCTCCCAGCCTGCGAGAGATCACTCGTATTGAGTTTCTCACTGCTTCTTGATCTTGATCGGGATCTAGAAATAGAGAAGTTTTGTACAAATTTGTATCTGTAATAATAAATGTGGTATGGTTGTAGATGTCTCAGTTTCAATTTCAGAATAAAACAAAATACTGAGATTATTTCCACTAAATGTATATATGTTGCAAGTTGAATTTAGTATCCGTAATTCTTTCTAATGGTCCCCTCTAATACCTGTTGTGAGGGCTGATGCTGGGGCTATGATGTCGCCCATTTCTGGCGCTGTAACGTCGGCTAGGACTGTGATACCGGTTGCGTTTCGATGATGGCGACCGACTTCCCGAGCGCCCAGACTTCCGCCTGTCGTATCGTCCAGTGCTTCGGACCGGTGATCGAGATCTCCCGCGATCTCGATCTGGTGTGCGTCGCTTTTGTCTCGCTGACGGTGATGCCTCATTCGCTTTTAGCCTCTCACTACTTCTGGATCGAGATCTATAAAAGAGTGTAATCAAATTTTAGTTAAAATTAAAAGAAAAGCGCAGTTCATTATTGATTATTTTGTATCCAGTTGACTGTAGGTGTTTAAACATTCCAAACCGAATCAAATATAAGAGGATAACGATTGTTTACAATGTACGATTTTACATCTATTCATCATGTTCATTTCCTCTATTCATTTCCAAATATTTATTTCATTTCTTATTATTAGGTGTCACCTTCTTTTGAATTGTTTTTTTTTAACAATGAGCTAGGGGTGTGATCCAAACTGCGTACTTATCTATTTAGTTCTATTTAGGGGTGCCAGTAAAAAGAACCCAATTATAGTTTCTCATTTAAAATATTAGATTCATTAATTATTAATACTGATAATTCATTAATGCAGAATCTTACGTTTTATTTTTATAGACTAATTAGATTAGAGACCAAATAATGACCGACAAATTCTTCCAAAACATGCCTCTTTATGAATCGGTTTTCGCGGTATTATTTCGGTCAGACACTACTGAAGATGACACTACTGCTAAAACACAATTTATTGTCTCAATTCTATACGTGTCAAAGTAAGCAAATATCTTAACGTTAGTTTTTTTCGCAGTCGAACTATACCAAAAAAGCAAAATAATACGGACGTGCATTGAGTAAGCAAATACCTATTGTGTGGACTGTTGCTTGTGCTGCGATGTCGGCCATTTCCTGGGCTGTGGCGTCGGCTAGGACTGTAAGAATATCGGCTGCGCCTCAACGATGGTGATCTACTCCCCGATCGCCTTGACTTTCGTTTGTCATACCGTTCTGCATTCTCGTACGGAGGGTGTGTACTGCGCTCAGTACTTGGCACTTGTTTCGCTGCTTGTGCCGCTTCATTTGCTTTGAATTTCTCACGACTTCTTGATCGACACCTAGGAAAATATCAATATTATTCAAATATATCGGAATGTTCAAGAGAACCATTTGAATTAAGTGTTTATATAAATAAAACCCACATGCATTTGCGAAAGCGCGTTCGGAACAAAGTACAAATTATGTTCATTACATACTGGAAGTCGTACACTGTGCAATAAATTCATGGACACTATTATAAAAGGGGCATAACTAGTAAACACCAAATATAAAACTCAAAAGCAACCACCTCCGAAAAAAATAACTGGCAAATCTCACCGTCTAAAAAATGCATGGTCCTAAACTAAACCTTCGAAACAAGTTACAAGATACGGACAAAATCAACGAATAAATAATGTCCAAAGTGAAAATGTCAAAACGCATTGCGATCTATACTAACATAATATGTTACATATATTATATGTTGGTGAAATGAAATCTGACACATTCTGAACGGAGGCTGAGGGGCCGAATTAAAAGAAATACGGGAGAAGCTGGGGTTGCAAGTCGTGATGTGATGGTCGTGCAAGAGATGCATTTAGATAGTATTATCCACTAGGCAGAAACAGAACATCCCCATGAGGCTAGACCACTGAGTACAGCACGACTCCTGGGCGTCTATCTCCCAGAAGCAGAAGGAATAATATCTTAGTGATTTAACAACATAAACCTGCGTGTGTGCAGATTTGTATTGAATTCTTTGCCTCATTCCAAAACGGTAAACTTGGTTTTCTAACTAAACATAATATACAAAGATGACTGGTATACTGGTGATGGCTAAGAGGTTTTAGAGGCTGTCGTAATCCCTACGAAAGAACAACTTTTCAATTTTAGAATAAACATATAGAAAAAGGCACTACTATCACTCCAAAACTATACATTCCAAAAGATTCTGACTCAAATCAGATTTTACAATACGGTGCCCCAGTTTTTCATATGTATGATGTAAATCCCGTATTTCACAGGAGATGAACTTATCTACTTTCGTATTCAATAGAATCTCAGTGTTTTTCCGGAACTTGCGTGTTTAAAGATATGTGTAAACTGTATACCTGTCTTCTTGCTGGTGTCCTTCATCGCTAGAGCAACTTGCTGATCGTGGTCTGGATGGACCTGGCTCCTGCTCTTGCGGTGGCGCTGTACCCCGTGCAGTGGGCGTAGTTTTGGTTTTGCAATAAGCTTCCGCAGGTATTTCAATTGTATTGGGTGTGATTTTGTTGAATAACTTCACCCCAAATGGACCTATAACATCAACAGAGAGCAATGTGTTAATTGACGTTGGAGCGATCGCGCTGCTCTAATCACCCAGCGATTGTCAAGAAACATTTTCAAGGATTGTGGAAGTTTTAGAAATTCTTCGCATTTGTCGCAATGCGCGCAGTGAATAATACACAAAATTACTTATTGAGCGAACGGCGACGGCGGTAACGACATTTTCAATGACTCAACGCAATATCAATAACTTGATATTTGTTTAGCGTAAATACAATGTGGAAAGTCATCCAAATTAAGGATTTTTAAATTAATTAATTTAATTAATTCTCCGTCCACAAGCATCATGCATTCGACCAAAAATCGGTCTAAATTGTTATCTTAAATTGAACGAATAGTTTGCGCGTAAGCTTTATCGAATCAGGGCGCGGTCGTTTCACGTCGTTCGCGGAAAATTCGAACACTTTGTTGAATATTACCGGATCACATTTTAAATCAAATGCGCCTTGTAATAGTTTAAATGCTTCAAATGCATATACTTTTGATTAGATTTTGTAACACAAACCACATCAAATGTAAACAGAAAATGCATGCATGATTCAGTGACTTGTTTCCCTGAAGTAAAATTTACTGCTGTAACCGTTGAGCAGGACTGGCCAAATAATCAGAAAGTTTAAATTTCTTTCTTGGCCAGTTCATAAGTAAGTATCTTCCAGACCATCTCCACACCCACAATTTAAAGTAGTCACCCGCACACATCAATAATATCACTGGGATATCCAGATAGCACAAGGTTTATATACAAATGTTCATTCAAGTTTCTTCTTTGTGTTCTTCAGTGTGAAAACTTATTCTCTGGTTTTGAATGCATCAAGTCTTACATTACATTTTACTTAGAAAGTAGCAAACAATAAATTGACTATTGGCAAGAATTGAAATAATGCTAGCATGGAATACATGAAGTATATAGAAAAGGATCTGATTATAAGAGATATATGCATAATTACCACCAGAGATATTCACAAAGGCTGTTATTGCAAAAGGGTTCTCGATACCCCTTTCTAGAGGCTGCGAATTGCCAACAGCTTTAAGATTGCTTCTTCGTATTGCTACCTTTACCAGTTTCAATTCATTTTGTTTGTAAGAAGTAGTCACTTTAAGAGGTTTTGCACTGGTTGCCATGTTGGAAGACATGGTCTCAAATGGCAAATCCTAAAACAGGCAGCGTTTCGGTTTAGTAGTTACATAAGTAGAATAATGTACACAATAACACATGATAAATACACTCATAAATAGTTTATAGTAAATAATAGTCATTTGTTCGATACCTTGTTTCAGTGGTCCTTCGGCACCCTGATGGCCACCGTTTGGCGCCACGAAGCTTGAGCGAAAGGCGACTTTAGTCGGTTGTCGAAGGCTGCACGATGTCGGGAAACGTTGGTTGGTTGGTTGGTTGGTCGGAACCTCGAAGACGGCGTTACGCCGAACGTGAAACACGGCCCCCGTAGAACAGCAACCACAACAACTTGCTTGAAACTAGATAAATTGCTAGTCGCTGATGTAGCCGGGACGGCCGGGACTGTTTTCCACTTAACCCTCGGATTGAGCAGATTTGTTGCCACTGATCTATATACTTCGGCACCCAATGCACACAAACCCTGTTTTTGCAATTTACGACAACATCGATAATTCGCATATTTCTTCGTTAATTCATTGCAGGTACTTACGGGATTCCTAAAACTGAGTTAATTCCTTTTTAGGCATTTTAGGCATGTAAGTAAAATACAACGCTATCGGGTTGGTTCGTTACTGATCGTCATTTGTCGGAAGTACTCGAGTAAACATCAGCACGCGGTGACAGAACTGTACCCGTAGTTTCGCCCGATTTGAAACGTACGGAATGAACTATTATACTTTACCTATTTGTGCTTAAATAAGTAGCACGGGAACATATTTCATCGCTCGTATCGGCAACAAATATGATCACATGGTACATTAATTACTTCTGAACAAGTGGAACCCATGAATTTATCACTTCACGCAGATCTTTGCAACATCAAAATACTGATATCCAAATTCTACAGAAAAACATGCTCATTCTCCCATGCTCTAAATGATTATTGCTCTACAACTTTTCATTGTTCTGATGGAACAGTATCAATCACTTTATTAATTTTGATTATTAATTCTATAGATCGTTTTTTTGCAGCAACTTCTTACTGATGATGTACGGACACATGTAAAGTGGCAAGAGTTCAAAAGAGCTCAATGGTTTTTTCCATGTTTCGCCCTGATGCTCTGATGGCAGGATCACAGGACCTTACTTATTATTAAATGAAAAGATATTCACCTAATGTGATGCTAAAGAAATATTTATTTCCAAGCTTGAGACGCCTTACAACAAGTATACAAATATAATAATACATGCTTAACCGAAAAGAAAAAACTGAAACTTGAACTTTAATTGAAGACAAATTATAAATGTACCTAATAAAATATTGAAAAAAGGCCTTGATTAAAGAATATGGTCAAATAGTCGAAGAGCACACTTGTCGAAAAGGCTGCGCGTTACAATTGGAACTTGTTGACGATGAACTTCCAATTACAAGAGAACGTGGACCCAGACAGCGGACTAGTCAAGCATCGTAATTTCCTCCTTGATAAAGAATTCCACAATTTCTTCTTCAACATTTTCTGTGTCTGCGTCCAACTCGTCTGTATCAACATCTGCAAGAAAAAAAGAGCAATATTGAGACTGAATTGAAGCTATGCATGCATTAACTTGTACAATGTGATGGAAGTCTTACAGAAACAAATTCTTAAAGACTAAAGTAATGTATTCCATCACACTGAATTTACTTTGCCCTGAGCGTATAACTCATATAAACATTTATAATTTATTGAGCAAAAAATCAGGACTTGTAATATACAACAAATATTTCAATACGTACTGTTCCTAAGTGCCAAACGCCTAGGTTTGTGTTCATTGTATTCCCTGACCCTCTTTTCCCTGTACTGCGAGAACTTCTCCATGAGCGCCGCGCGCTTTTCGATAAGTTCCTTGCTAGCTCTGCTTTGTCGCATGCGGTCTTTGCTCTCAAATTGAGGGTAATACTTCTTCAGCGACTTCTTGATTTCCTTCTGCATTGCTTCGGTGAGCAGCGTCTTGGGGCGCGGGCGCCACAGTAGCTGCGCAAACTTCTCCTGATTGATACGCTTTAGGATCTTGCCCTGGAAGGACCAGATCCAGTACCCGGTGTCCACTTTAGTCTTCCACACTGAAACACCGGTCACCACGTACCTACCAGTCGGATCCCATTCGACGTCCGACATTTGATAATGGTCGGTCGTATTCATCACCAAGAACTCTTTCGTATCTACGAACTCAAGAGATCCTCCTCCGCTGCTGCCCACGCCGGCCAAAACAATATACTGGCCGTTGGGGCACCAGAACAGATGGTTGCATGCACGTTTCTCGAACTTCTTCAACTGCACCGGAGCAAGACCAACGCGAATGCCCCAGAAGCTGACGCAGATGTTCGGACTTTCGCCGTGAATGTAAGCAAATTTGGAGCCGACCGGCTCCCAAGCGAACGCCTGAATGGGCTCCTTACACTCGACGCTATCAACCGGAATCTGTTTTTCACGCATATGGAAGATCTCGAAGTTGTAGGACATGCCGGAGTACTTGTATTCGCTCTTCTCTTTGCGCACCTTGGCATACCGGTCGACTTTCACGCAGAGGTAGTCACCGCTCTTCTGCCAATGAATCTTACAGTCAGCAACGCTAAACAGATTTTTGCTGCGTATCTCCGCGCGGTTGGGAATCTCAAGAAGAATGACGCGTGCAGGTACGTCCTTATCTTCGGCCACCCAGTAAGCAATTACATTATCGGTGGGAGACCAGCTAAAATCGCGTATGCCGGGTATCTTGATTGACTTCTTGTCCAGCAGGTAGAAGGAAGACGTCTCGTACACGGACAGCACATCTGTGCCGATGCGCGCAAAGTACTTATCATCCTGCGACCAACGGAAAATCGGCCAAGCGGAGGGCCCTTCCGGATCAAACGAACGCTTTTCCAAGCCAGTCCTAGATAAAAAATTATGTTATTTATAACATTCGCATATTTTATTAGTGAAAAATAATGTCCAGAAAATGCGGTCTTCGCTAGTTCAAAATGTAAACAAGCTGTGAACACCGCTTAAACTAATATTGCTTTGCCCTGAGCGTATAACTCGACAATTTTTAAGACAAATGCCGGGTAAAAATTCAGGGATGCATGACTTTTAAAGTAGAGCAGTGGTCCTACCTGATGTCCCAGATAATAATACGCTTCTGATCGGGATTATCGGTGTCAATCTGGGGCGAGTACGTAACAAGGTACTTTTCGCACGGTGAGAAGTCAATAAACTGCACTGAATTGTGCGAAAAGCGCTTGTACTGCGTAAAATTGGGTCCAGCCCACAACGCAATGCCCAGCTGGTGGAATGTCGCTAAGTAAGTACCCAACGGCGACCACTTCACGTAACTCCACGTCCACGTCTGAAATCATAAACCAACTCATCAAGACCATGTGAAACCACAAATGATACCAACGAACCTGACGATCCTGGATGCAAGTGGGATCAGGTTGAGTGTTCTGCCAAATCTGCACCGAACGCCCGGGCCCGTTGACAACACAAAACTGATCGTACGCATCTGGCTCCAACATATAGTAATGCATATCACCTTGTCCCTCATATGGTTGTGGTTCTGGAGGCTCCCACTTGTCTGAGATCTTCTCATACTTGCTGAAGTCAGTGAACAAGTTCACCAAAAATGTATGTGTCTTGTCAAGTTTATGATTGTTGGTGTGCTTGACAGCCTCTGCAGCCTGCACTGGAGAAGTGTACTCAAGAAAAATGTAGCCTTTAGTAAATCCCTTCTCATTCACTGGATAATATTCATTCACAATGTGGCCAAACTTGGTGAAGAGTTTGTTCACCACCGATTTGAGTTTTTCGAGACGATCAGGTCCGACAACTGGTACGCCGTCGACGACAATGACGCTTTCAACGCCATCGGTTTCCTGAGGCTTCTGACGCAGCAGCTCGCCAAGTAACTCTGAGAATTGCCACAAACATAAGCTGAGCTAACCTAACAAATGCTCATGGAATGATTTTGTTTGGTAAGAAAACACTGACGTTTTCAATCAGCGTAATACGAGTCTATGAGGGGAAAGAAAGGAATTTTCGTTGGATCGTCGCTAGCTGGGGCCGAGGTATCTTAGTGGGTTAAAGTAACATGCCGCGGAAAATAACCGCATGAGATGCTACCGGAAAAGTGGCCACATACCTTCATCGCTGACATCATCGACATATCCTTCCGGATCGCTGAAGTTGGGTTCCTCCTCGTTGGAAGAACCATCCTCATTGCGCACAATATCACTATGATCCGCTTTTTCGTCCAATTTCTTTTTCGCCATGTTGACAGACGGGACTGCGTTACACGAGAGAGCGAGCGACCGAGGCAGCGCAGCGGAGGCAGTCGGCGACTTCGATTGTCAGCTTGGCGCTCACCGAAAACACGAATGGTTACACCTTTTCCGGTCGGGCCAGCTTCAGACGCGGCAAATTTAAATTCAAACCAAATACTTACATGCATTTCTTGTTGGCATAAAAATAACCTGTCACAATTACTGTTAGAAATTTGTCTCACACATATTTTTCTAAAAGTCTATAAATGTGTATTATTATTTATTATATTTATTTTCTTTGTAGAATACGTTATCCATAGTTGATATTATAGTTATTCAAATTTTATATTTGCTCCCGTTTTCCCGTTTTAGTTTCCTCGACACGAAACATGTTTAACTCAAACAAAATGTAATTCGATCACTTAAAATTTATATATCAAAATGTATTATTTATTACACGTGCATTATTGTTGCATTGCAAAGCAGTTCAAGTGTGATAGTTATGATACACCATGCTGAAAGTCTATTTACAAACTGACTGCAAAACAATGCGTTCGTCAGAATAACAAAGAACATATTGTAATTTCCACATACTTCAATATATCAACTTCTAAATAACTAACAATATTGAGTTCACGACGACAAAAATGACTGATAAGTTTTCGGGACAACTTTAGGGATAAATTTCCAACAGCAATGTAACAATATGTTTTGTATTTAGTAAGCTTGGTTTGATTTAATGCTAGTGTTTAAAAATTAAAAGCAAAGTTCATATTTCTAGAGGTATTACAAAAATATTAAATAAATAATCATAAATCATGCGCGTAATGTTGTAAATTATGAAAAATTCAATATAGGTATATAAGAAAAACCCTGTCATGCACATTAAAGAAAAAAAATATGGAACAGCTCTGAACAACAAAATGAACTTGTAGAAACATCGAAAAAAAGAGACGAACGACGAGACGCGTGTCTTAAAACTTGTGTATTAAAAATTCTGGAAATATCGTAGAATTTGAGTGATATTGGCCAAATATATTTTCAACTATTATTTTGCTTGTTTCGCTTCGCGGTGTGAAATTTATACGTTTACATAAGTTTATATATTTTTTAACCGTGTAACTGGCTGTAATCATATGGCCACAAAGATATAGGTATCCATGTTGAAATTAGGCGTACCTAATGTTGAGAAAGAGTTGAAAATATCAAAGAAGGTGAGTTTACATTTAACCAGAAAATAGTGGTTCTCACATATAGATAATTTATCTGAAATTTTATATGTATTTTCATATTAAAATTTTCATTTATTTCTTGGCTATGATATGATTTAAAATATGAACTCTCAAGAGTAATTAGATATTTTTCTCTTTGAACCATCTATATATCATCTTCTTCATATGTGGAAATAAAAATTGCGCTGAAACCCTATTGATTATTTGTTGAATGAACTACATTATCAATTTGCTATTGTACCTTGGATATAGTAGGATGTCGTTATTTGCAAATTGAAATATTTCATTTCTTTAGTAGTAAAATAAAATAAATTGAAAATTTGTATGCATAGAAGAATCCATCTTGTAGTAGAATTAAAAAAAAAACATTTCATTATAAAAAATAATTCTATATAGGTAAATGTCACGCACGCTTATGAATTAATTTTCCAAATAATTGTGCGGGAATATGCAGTTCTAGTATTTCTGTTTGTGGATGCAATTGCACAATTATAATTTCTACGAAAGTTTAAACTGAAACAAACAGTTATTCAGAAGCCATAAATCTAGAATCTCTAGCTATTTTTAATATTAATTCTCATCCTTTACTGACAATAATCTTGTTTTTCACGATTTCAAAACAGTGCAATTATTTTCGCGGTAATGAATTTTTGTAATGAATCAGATAATATTCTCCAATAATAAATAATTTATATTTTCAAATATATGCTATTCATTGTGTTTTATAACCAAATAGTTATAATTTCAATTAAATAAGTTACATCTGATTAAATGCGGATTGATAAATATTTTTCTTTGGCATTGACATTGACTTCCATTGCGTAGGTATTTCCATTGTAGCAGATGAAATTGGAAATGCACAACGCCCATATCATTTCAGTCCTTCGTGGTATTATTATATTAATATTACATTTTTCAAAATGTTTTTCATTTAATTTAACTTTTAATAATACATGGTAAACATGTCTTATAAATGTGTTATTAAATTATAGTAATCAAAGTTGATGCTATCGGAAGAATGTTATTATTCAGTTGATATTTTGTTCCGTTAATAATTTTATGAAAAATATATTTTCTATTTTTCGATTTGCGTCAGGTAATAATGCAACAAAGGGGAAAGGGTAAACCCAAAAATGTAAAAAATATTAGTAATATAAGTTATTAATTGTACAAAAATTGAATATTTCAGCATCAAGTTTGTTTTTTACAATAATTCTCCTTCACAATCAACGCTCTAAAGTACTAATAATAATTAAATACTTGCAAAAGTATGTGGGTCTAACACCCACGAGAAAGAAACAAAAATCACATACGTATTTGCATTATTTGTGAGAATAAAACAATTTTGTACATGTTAGTCACGAGTTTGAACATACGAAATAACGCATACAGACGTGAACATACAGAATTGTAAAATTAGTATTCTGGTAAAAACGATAACAATTTTGAATTTACAAACTTGCAGGGCAGCCAGAAATGCGCGCTTCTTGCGCGGGCTTCGCCGACAGGGCGCACCGATGCGCCGTTCGATGCCGCGCCACTAGCCGCCTCCGGCAGCTTTCCTGCGGCGCCTGCCCACCACCGCCAGTTAGTTTGCGAGGTAACGGCGAAGCGCCCGCAACGTTCAGCCTGCCCTTCGCATACGCGAGCACCCGGCACGTGCAAACGAACGTGGCGCGATCGTAAATTAAGAAAATTCTACAACAACGCCACTTTATAAATAATACGCAAGTACGTGTCATAATTACGCACGCATTTCGACAATTTACGTAATCAAACTCGACGGGAAGTTTCGTAAGTTGTCGGCCGAGAAGGGCATACACATACAAGACAAGCCACAACAAAGTTTTTGCAATTCAATTTTGATGTCAAAAATGCATAGCCGCATTGAGATCTGCATACCTTTGTTTACATTTTAATTTTATTGGGCTTTATTTGAATTTTATAAATCCGGATTGAAGTGAAAATAGTTTTTTGTGGCTTGGTTCTAAAATAATTTGCTGCATTTATAACAGGTACGCGCATTTTTTATTCGAAAGCTTAACAAAATCACGGGGAATAAGTCCTTCCGCGCGTAATACGCACAGACGCACGGTACGTTTGATCTCGTTGCGCGTTCCGCAGCCAATACGCGCATTTGCATAAGTAAATTTATTCCGCATTTCGCGCGACGCGGCGTGTGCACGCGCGCGCCCGAAATTCGCAACGATTTTTTCGCGCTTCGCACGTTCGCATTTCCCACATGGCTGCGACGCGCCGCCTGGTGATGTATAACTCGGGGGGCGGCGGTAGCGAGACCGAGACCATCGCGAGCGCCCGCCGCATGGTGAATAACCAATTCGCAACGTAGATTACGTAACGTGCAAACCGTGCGTGCGAGTGTATCTGTACGTGTGTGGATGGGTGTGTGCGCTTGCTTACATTTGCCATGGCGCGCCGCCTCGAGCCGTGCGGTATTTTCTAGACGAGAACTAAAGCCGCGCCGCCCCCTAGCGCGGAGGAACGTCCCAAAAGAAAACGAATTTTCGTCGAGATGCTAATTGAAAACATGCTAGATACTATAGCTGGTTCGAGAAAAAAAAAACGCCAAGAGTTTTGTCCAAGCAAAAGAAAACAAAAACATCGTTACTTTTTGTAAATACAATTTTTGTATTTATTTTAGCGCAAATGTGTATACTTTACCTGCCGGTTTATATAATATTCAATCAAATTTCGCCGGCCGATGGCAGGACAAATTCAAAAACTTCCTACCTCGAGTTTTTGTTGTGCGAAGGAGCCAATGCGAGTTCTTAACAAGCGTCAAACTCGTCGTTTGCCCGTCTGAAGGCGGCGCATTTCAGCCTTTGCGTTCGCGGCATCAGCGGCATGCGTGCGGCAGCATTGTTGGCGCGGCGCGCTTATCCTGTAGGAGCCGCGCGGGCGGAAGCAGAGGAAATACGCTCCCGACGCTCCGACGGCGCGGCACAATCGACGACATAAATTAACGCCTTACAGCGCCCGACTTGCACGCGCTCGCTACCCAGGAACCCAGCGAAAATTGAAACACATTAGGCTTGCAGACAATTAACGTCTGAAAACAGATCGAATTCTTTTACTAAGCGCCTGCAATTGCTCTTGTGTTCGTTTTCTATTAAGATCAAACCCGCATTTCAAGATTTTGAAGTTGGCCGCATTTTGAAGATTCATATTAAAATAGTATTGCCAAAAGAATAAATTATATTAAATCAGAACAAAATTCATAAAAACCCTAATGCAGTTGTTAACATGCCCTTCTCTGGCCTACAACATAGTGAATATGGTATGAGCGGGCAACGCAAAGTTTGATGTGGCAATGGAAGAGAAGAAACAATACAGCACGCTGACGATCGACAGGGCGGCATTTTTATTGTTGCGCGTCAAGAAGGCATTTAAGAAGAAAAAGTTGCAACGCAAAGAACGCGAGCAGCGGAAGTAAGTAATAATTGTTATTTTCATAATTCCTTTCTCTGATTGATGCTGTGAAATTCTTTTTTTATTTGTGCAAATGCACCATGGCACCATTATAGCTATTATAACACTTTTCAATTCCAAGTGTTCGCATTAAACGGCTTTACGTCTTCATCCCAAACAAATCACAATATAATTGTGTAGATTTCAAAGTTTATTAATTAATCCACTTTTAAAAAAAAGTTAGAATGGAAAATTGGTTTACATGTATCTTTAGTTTTCTTTTGGTGTTCATAACGTATATTGTGTGGATCATCACGAGAAGCAACTGGAAAATTCATAAAATGAAATGTTTTCCAAATATCATATATAAAATTAGAAGTATAATAACATATGAAGTATATACAGTATGTGCAGAGGATTCACAATCTATGATTGTTTGAGATGATCCTATACTGCCGGCGAGAGAAAAGACTGGAATCTGTGATGAATTATCCACATATGGTATGCTGTTATTGAGAGCTGATAATGAAGTGTTATCGGCCGATCCGATAAACACTCTTATCGATGCTATTATAATGCCGAATAATCTCAGACTATGCGCGTTAACGCCAGTAGAACGTTCGAGGAGTAAATTATTTAAAATACAGTGAAAATGTCTGAGAGTGGAAATTGTGTTATAAATATATTGCTCGGCTGCTGTTACTTTTGCTGCTGTTGTTATTGTTGTTGTAAAGGTAGTCAAGTAACATCAGAAATACGTACTGAACCAGCAACTCCTAGGCAGCCCCCATTAAGACTTCATACACCGCTGATGCCGATTATAACAACACCACCTTCACCGGTTAACGATACGGCACCATCAGCCCCGCAATGTGACGAGGTCGACGATATAGTATCAATCCATCGTTTTGAAGGACTTAATCCAGCTTATTTAAGTGGCTTTGGAAGCAGTGAACAGACTACAACACATCAATCGACGGTGACAATGCAGGAATCCCCAATTTGGGAATCTGTCAATACAATTGGAACTGCAATTGTGAGAAATTGTCACCAGTTGACTATCAGCGGAGATGGACTGGACAAGTCATCGTGTGAACAATTGGAGAGTGAACTTGCGGCATGTTTAAAGGATATTAGACTCATCAATGGTCCAACAGTAAATGATCACAATATTCCACAACACGCCATTTTGCAATTAGAAACTTGCCTTCAATTATTGAAAGAATTTCGAGAAGCGGCTGTAGCGAAGGATGCATTGAATGTGCGCTGTGTTCAGCTGATACAACGGATCGAAAATGGCGCTGGCGAGTTGCATGCGATCGAGGAAGAGTTTCGAGTCATTCTACAGATGTTCGAGGAGAGGAGACCGACTGGAATTTAATGTGGATGGCAATTATTTGTAGGTATTAGACGCCAATAAATTACCAGTGAGTTGTTGTTTATTTTTTCGCCGCAAACATATGTACATACTTGATGATTTAAAATAACAAACATGAAAACGCTATAAAATTAATACTACCATACCTGTGTGATCGGGTGAGTATTCGCCCACGCCGCAAACCACTCAAATTATTTATTTAGATCTGAAACACATTTATATTCGTACACACACACACACACATGCCATAGGGCGCATTGCGGAGGTCAAACATTCAGCTGCACACTTGGAGCGCGGTACGTACGAAATGTTATGGATTGATACGCGCACGGTACGCGCCACCCTCGAGAGACAAACGTAAAAGTAAAAATGTGTTGGCGCCGAAGTTCGGTAAGTGGGTACGGGTAAAAATAATGCGCCCCAAAGCTCACCGCGAGGTCAGATCAGATGGATTTGTGAACATCGACTAACGAAATTGAAATTTTGATTTTCGACCGATCGACATTGATGGTCTTAACCCAAAAAAGCTCAAAGGATCGCTTTAATTTTCGCCATGTTTATATTGCCGCCAATAATATTTAAAACAATAAATATGTGATATGTGATTCACCTTTCTGATATTAGATATTTAGACCGCGCGATAAGGCAGGAGGAGACAAATGTAAAAAGCACAAAGTATGAAACGCATCAAAATTATACAATTGCTGCGATTATTTTTTACGAACGCACTTAAGTGCTGGTTGATAAGCGTAGCGAGTAATAACATGTTTTTAATTAAAACCATGCGTCAGTCAATTTGTTCCTATAACGTATCAAGTATCGAACGGACGCATTTCAACCCCCAAATCGCATATCGCGACCAGAAACGCATGTTTGCAAACTGCGTTGTTGGCGGCAATGTAAAATCAGTGTTACGGTGTCGAAAGCGCGCCCGTTTGGAGTGAAGATCATAATGAAGGATGAATATTCATGATGCAGATTCCAGCCTCGTGCATGTGCCACGCACGCTGAATGTCCACATTCGCTCTCCTCCGATAATGTATTCGGTTGACGTTGTGATTTTGCGCCCGTCCACGCTCGTTTCACGCGCGGCCCTTTTTTTTTGTTATTTTCTTGGGCGGCATCGACGCGATGTCACCGCTCGTCCGTGCTGATCAATTTACAACGCAAGCTAATAGAACCCTCGTGGTATCATGCCCTTACTGACCAAAAATCATGTACCAATGTGCCGCAAGATGCATTGATTTTGCATTAACCACGGCGGGTGCGTCTTCACGCGGTGGTTGCAAAATAAACTCGATGCGGCGTATTGATGCATGTAAAGAGCTCACCATTCATCATTTGCTTCGCGTCCGAATGCTTCATTTGGCGGGTGACTGTTGAGACTCGGGGCCGCGACCTCCCTAAATCGATACGCATTTGAACTGGCCACTGTTGAATTGCGGGCCGTAGCAGGACTAATCGTAAAACTTTCGATTGTTCGAAACACACGCGCGACTCGGACTCACTGATCAAAATACTTCTCATTAGGATAAGCGGAATCAATACACTAACACAATATATACGTGACTATTTTTAGTCCTAACGATTTCCATCTATACATACCTACACTGACGCGTTTGTAGGTATATACAGAAGATGTCAATTCGGTAACTATTCTACAAATGAAGAAATAAACGTTCATCGTGTAACTCGCACGTGAAGCACTTGAAATGTAGCGCACAGTGGCGGATTACGGCCTAGGCGCACTAGGCGCGCGCCTAGGGCCCCGGCTGCCTGGGGGGCCCCGGCTGCCTGAGGGGCCCTTGGCACTTATATGTCCCATATAGACATAGTAATTCCACAAATACTTCATCAGTTGGTTTTGACCTCAGCCTTTATGAATAGCGTATCGGTTTTCACTTGGCGCCCAAAACGGCATTTCACACGTGTCCGCAAAGCAACCGTCACGGATATATAGCTGACTTAAAACTTTTTATCTCAAACTGTTTAAAATAAAATTTGGATGTTTTCTGCCACGAATTTTTGTGACCTTTTCTTGAATATTGCGTTAGAAAGTTGTAGCTATAATGCGAGTAGTATTTTGCCAATTTTTTTAAATTTCGAACATCTGTGGAGGAGATGAGTTGAGGAATATTCCATAGAGGTTGTAAAATAGCGGGTAACTCTCTTTTTTGGAATATTAATTAATTCGTCTTTCTATCATTTTTTACATCTGCGGAACACGTTGTACCAACGTTTATCCTCCTACAATTTTTATCTAGATTTTTGGGGTGGTAGTTGGATTAAAAAAAAACAGACTTCAAAAGAGTTCGATCAATTTGAGACGGCACTGTTAACAATTTTCTGGAACAAACTCCTACAGAGAATCGAAATTACCAGCAAATACTTACAGGAACCAAAGACAAATATTCTTAATAGTGTTAGTTTATTAAAATCATTAAACGAATTTATAACAGTGGTCAGAAATAATTTCGAAACTGTTGAAGAGGAGGCTAAATCCCTAACAGCTCATCATTCTTATAAAGAGATGAGACAAAGAAAACGCAAATATCCATATGATGAAACGAACAAAAATGATACAGCATTTTTGTCAGGAAATTTTTATATTGTATGTGATGTATTAACATCAGAAATTACTCGAAGGGGCGATGTCTATATCAATGTTCTTAACGATTTTAAAATTTTCTTTGATTTAAAATTAAGCCGTGTTGAGACTAATAATTGTGTAGAGCGTTTATTGTCTAAGTATGAAAAGATATTGAGCCAGAATATTTCACTGATGAGTTAACTAATTTTCTAAAATATATACAAGAAGAAAATATTAGAGATCCACATGAAATGTATGCAACATTAAGTAATGGTCTAAAATCAACTTTTCCAAATATACACACAATACTGCAAATTTTTTTGACCTTGCCCGTTTCTAATGCAAGTGGAGAAAGGACATTTTCAGTTTTAAAACGAGTCAAAAACTATCTGCGCAATAGTCTTTCACAAGAGCACTTAAATGACTTCGCATTAATGTTCATAGAAAATGATATTTTTAAAAAACTAGAGTACGACAAAATTATTGAAATCTTTGCCCAAGAGAAGGCTAGAAAAGTAAATTAGTAATTTGTATTTAAATACGATTACCGTTTTTGAGCACACGTACGATGAACTCGAGAACCAAGATAGCATTGAAAACGATAATCCCATCGCGGATAGTATGGCAGAAAATTTTACCTGTGATATTTCGATCGGTCCTGAAAACAATTAACGCACAACACCTGGTCCATCGCGAAGAGCGAATCGGAAGATAATCCATTAAATTTTGGAATAGTGCGTGTGGATTAGGCCTACTGGGGATACCACGATAAAACGCGCCACGTACTCTACCTCATGGTGGTGTGGAAATGAGTTTTTGGCACAAACGAATGTTGAAGTAGACTTTGCGGCGCCCGTACGCTAAAACTATTAATTTTACTGGGCTAATAACCGTTTTTGAAAATTTTCGGATTTAGGGGCCCCAAACTTGATTTGCGCCTAGGGCCCCACTGAAGCATAATCCGCCACTGGTAGCGCACGTTCCATTTCGAGGGGAATTACGTTTCGGTCTGTCAATGGTAATGCTAACACTCGGCAAAGTGCCACGTCCCGA